GGGAGGCAGGATCTTGGGGGCCGTTGTGGAGGCTGGCTCCCACCCATGAGCTCGCCACGCCACTGTGTCGATTGTGAGAGAGGCAGGTCTTTGGGGTATTCTGAGATCCAATGTCCAACGTGGGGGAGAGGGGGTCCCCACACCAGCAAACAATTCTCAGACACCAGCAGGGTGTCCAAGAATTCAGCTCAGTTCTGACACGGTGACCGAGAGACAGCACCAGACTCCACAGGCCACGGATTCGGCCCCACCAGACCGCCCCCACTTCAGGTGGGGTCCAGGCCCAGGTCTCCCCTGCCGTTCTGTCAGACCGGCTGCAGATCGGGGGTTCCCCAGACTGCATCCTCAGGTGTGAGGAACTTGCCAGAGCCGCTCACACAAGGCAGAGATGTTTAGCTGACGACATGATCCACGTACTGGAAGATGACTCAGGAGGGCCAGAGGGAAGAGACGCAAGGTGGGGAGGAAGAGTTTGTGACCTCCCCAGGTGCCTCCCTGTCCCCGAATCTCCACGCGCTCACCAGCTCTCGGAGCCACATCCTGTTAGGTTTCTAAGGAGGCTCCATCATGCACGGCAGCCCATCTGCTCCAACAACAGGCCCAGCCCTGCCGCTGGCCGGACACACTCCCAGGAGCATCCCCCTGGCTGCCGAGCATCTGAGCGGGAGACTCCCTAGCTCCGAGCTCCAGAAAGGAAATGAGGATGAAACATGGTCCAACAGCCAGTCTGGAGCGGACGGGGTTTCCTCAGAGGGAAAGAGGTCTCCAGGTCCAGAATTCCAGGAGGTGGGGCTGCAGGGAGTGGGCTGCCCCAGAGGAAGGGGAAGAGAACAGGCTGAAGCTGACCAGATGTTTGTTGCTGTTCAGGGGGCTGGGGGTTTCCTGTGTCTTGCGGTGAACCCTTTCTTTCTACTTTCGGGAGAGCACGTGATTCTCTCTTGCGAAAGGATGCAGCTTCACAGAATCGTGGTAGAACTCCAGGGTGTGCAGGCATGCTCCTCCACCGAAGGCCTCTACCTAGCGGGGGCACAGGGAGCGACCGATTTCCTGGAGGGTCGGTTTCTGGGGAAAGGTGACCGGCGTCTTTCATGTGTTCTGGACAGCCCCTGGGCACCTGGGTGGCCTTGGCTAATGCCAGAAGGGGGAAAACCTTGGAATCAGGAGACCTGCACTTTCTTCTGGTTCTGCCACTCAGTGGCCGTGTGACCCTGGGCAAGTCCCTCTCCTTCTCGGGGCCTGTGTGTCCGCATCTGGAAGGCCTGTGTCTCTAGCAGTCCGGCAGGCTTGGAGGAGGTGTGAGGGCCAGCAGAGCCCACGCAGCTGAGGTTAGCAGGGCTGGTGACTGGGGCCAATGTAGGATGGGGGGGGTGCTTCCGTGGTCCTTGTCACCTCAGGCCCCAGGGCAAGAAAGGACCTCGAACCACCATGATTGAAGGAAGCTCAGAGGAGCCAACAGCCACACTTTCTCCCCGAGCATGTACGGTGGCTTTTGCCGGGAGCCATAAGGAACCTGAAGAAAGACAGGTGGTAGCTCTCGCCTGGCGCTCAAGTTCTGGGTGGGGCCCTGGCCGGTGTGGCTCAGCGGTTAGAGCGTCGGCCTGCGGTCCCGAGAGACCCGGGTTCGGTTCCCACTAAGGGCACGTACCTCGGTTGCAGTTTGTCCCCGGCCCTGGTTGGTCGTGCGGGTGGCAGCCACTCGATGTGTCCCTTTCACATCGATGTTTCTCTCTCTCTCTCTGTTCCTCTCTCTCCCTCCCACTCTGTCTGAACAAAAAATGGAAGGGTGTCCTTGGGTGAGGATACATAAAATAAATATAAATAAATAAATAAATAAATAAATAAAGTTAGTTCCAGAAGAATAAGCGTGTTCAGATAAAATGTTAAAAAAAAAAAAAAAAAAAAAATCTGGGTGGGGCCCAGTGGAAACACCGAGGGGTGTTCCACTCTTCACCCCGACCTGCACCCTCACTGCTCACCCAGCCCGTGTGGCTCAGGTGGATGACCACTGTCCTGCGCACCAAAGGGTCGCTGGCTCGATTCCCGGTCAGGGCACATGCCTGGGTTGCAGGCTCGATCCCCCTTTCTCTCCCTCCCTTCCCCTCTCTCTTAAAAAAAAAAAAAAAAAAGACAATAAAAAATATAAAACAAACATAGTCTCTGCTCGTCCACAGACTGGTCCGCAGCCTGGGGGAGATGGAGAAGGGGTAGAGTTCGGGCAAAACGCCCCACAGATTCATCGCAGGGCTGCGGGAACGACCTGGAACACCCTGGGAATTTCAGGCAGATGCCCCCGTATTTCCGCAGTCAGTGTCCCCAGGGAAGGAAGTCAGGGGCTCCTGTCCCCCGGTCTTCCCTTGCGAGCAGCCACCCCGAGCGAACGGGCACTACTGCCTTCCCCATCGGCCAGGCCCCCTCTTCACCGTCAAGCCAGACAGATTCCAACCAGGTCTTGCTGACAGGAAGCGAGTCTTTTAAAAAGCTGTGTTGGTGAGGTTTTTTTATCTGATTCAGGAACTGAAAACAGCACCCTTTAGTTCTCTGCAAGCACACCCATTTATAAGTCTCAAGTTCAAGTCTAACTTTAGACCCAAGCCAGTGAGAACAGAACCTTCGGAGCAAACCGCACTCCCAGTCTCGTGGTGAGTCCGCCGGGTGCATCTGCGATATTTACTTCACAGCATCAGAGATGTTACTGGTATCACTCGGCCCAGATCGCTCCAAGACAAGCATGATTTTATTGATCTATTTTCTACCTATCTTCAGGTAGAGAGAGAGGGAGAGAAAGGGAGAGAGAGAGAAACATTGACGTGAGAGGGACACACGACCCTGACCAGGGCCTGGAATGAACCACAACCGAGGTATGTGCCCTTGGCTGGAATCAAACCCGGGACTCATGGTCCACAGGCTGATGTTCTACTGCTGAGCCAAACCAGCCAGGACCAAGACAAATGTTATTTTTCTTCTTCTTCTTTTTAAATCCTCACCCGAGGACACTCTTGCTTTTGTCTTCAGATAGAGCGGGAAGGAGAGAGGGAGGAAGAGAGACAGAAACACCAATGTGAGAGAGACACATTGAGTGGCTGCCACCCACATGACCCCAACCAGGATTGGGGACAAACTGCAACCGAGGTACATGCCCTTAGTGGGAACTGAATCCGGGTCTCTCCGGTCCACAGGCCGACATTCTAACTGCTGAGCCAAACTGGCCAAGGTGACAAATGTTATTTTATTTTTTTTATCCTCACCTGAGGACATTTTCCCATTTTTTGTTCATATAGAATGAGAGGGAGAGAGGAAGAAAGAGAGAGAGAAACATTGACATGAAAGGGACACATCGAGTGGCTGCCACCCACACAACCCAACCAGGACCGGGGACAAACTGCAACCGAGGTACATGCCCTTAGCGGGAACCGAACCCGGGTCTCTCTCTAGGCCGACGCTCTAACCACTGAGCAAAACTGGCCAGGGCAACAAACATTATTTTAAATGTTACTGAATTGGCTGGCTGGTGTAGCTCAGTGCTTGAGCATCAACCCGTGCACCAAGAGGTCGCTGGATCAATTCCTGGTCAGGACACACGCCCAGGTTGTGGGCCCAATCCCCATTGGGGGGCATGCAGGAGGTGGCCAATTGATGTTCTCTCTCATCAATGTTTCTATTTCTCTCTCCCTCTCCCTTCCTCTCTCTCTAAAATCAATAAAGAAAAAAAATTTTTTTTAAAAAGTTACTGAATTGCATGGACCTCCTCTTGGCAGAGTTGGTGAGTTTGTTTGTTTTTGTTATTTATTTATTTATTTATTTTTTGCTGATTAATGTACAACAGGGATCATCAATCCAGGGCTCACAAAGCCCATAAATTTGGATGGAAAAAGTACATCTGCATTGTCACCACCTTCTAACTAGAATTTAGGCCTAACGTCTCGTTGTACCGTGGGTACAGCCACGAGTCTCCGTGCTCACCAGCGTGTGATGGGGCTCACCTTCGGAACGACTTGGACATTAGATCGCATCCCACCAGACCCGGTTTATAGCCTGCTAGTAAACGACAGGTATATTTCAAATTTTTAAAATATTTTGATAATAGTATTTCAACGTCACGTGTTTTCTTTGCAACCCTGTCATTTTATACATTTTAAAACATCTTCCTGAGAAAGGTTCCAGGGATTTTATCGGTGAGGTTCATGGCCTCTGCACACACACACATGCACACGCGCACGCGCACGCACACACGGTACAGACTGACGTTGACGTTGGTCCCTGCGCTGTAAGACCGGCATGAGGAGTTCCTCCAGTCCCGGCCGGTGGCTCAGTTGGTTGGAGCATCGTCCCAGTACACCAAGGTTTCAGGTTCAATCTCCAGTCAGGGCACATACAAGAATCAACCAATGAGTGCATGAGTAAATGCAACAACAAGTCGATGTCTCTCTCTCTCCCCCTTCCTTTCTCTCTCTAGAATCAATACATTTTAAAAAGCCAGGGACAGGGAAGGGGTCTGCTTCTGCCACCCCTGGCAAGCTGGTGCCCGCTGCCCGCACGTGCGGGCAAGCTGTGGTCTCCCTGCCTCGCGGCAGAGGGACTGTGTCCGAGGCACGTCTGTGTCCCAGTCCCTAGCACAGTGCCCAGCACAGAGCAGGTTCTCAGCAAAGTCTGCAGGACGCGTGGTGCCACGAGCTGGAGGTGAGCCCTTGCTGAAGTCGGCACACAGCCGTCATGCTGGACGAGGCGACGTGTGAGGGTGTGTGTGCGAAAGTGGCGGGTAGAGGGATATTATGGGGACACGGGATGTGTAAAGTCGGGTTTTTGTTTTTTTTAAAGGAATTCAAAACAGACTTCTGGAAGTTCATTTCCTAAGAGTCTTGCCGGCAGTGCAAAACAACCCTCCTGTCCCTGGCCCCACCCCGCCTCACGTGGCCACCTCTCTGCCCCCTGCAGGGCTGGCTCCCAGTATATCTGACCGGCGGGGCCACCCAGCCAGGCACCTCTCGAGTGGGAGAGCCTTCCAGAGGGAGCCTCGCCCAGCCTCTGCCCCGGACTCTGCACAGCGCTGCAGTCACAGGCCCGAGATGCCAGCTGCCCAGCTGCTGCTGCTGGCCTGTCTGCTGTGGGGTGTGGGAGCCAGGACAGCCCAGCTCCACAAAGCCAGTGACCGGAGTGGCCGATGCCAGTACACCTTCACCGTGGCCAGCCCCGATGGGTCCAGCTGCCCCGAGCAGGGCCAGGCCATGTCAGCCATCCAGGACCTGCAGAGGGACAGCAGCACCCAGCGCGCAGACCTGGAGAGCACCAAGGCCCGGCTCCGCTCCCTGGAGGGCCTTCTCCACCGGCTGACCTTGGCCCAGACGGCCGGGGCCCCCGAGACCCTGGCGGGGCTGCAGCGGGAGCTGGGCACGCTGACCGGGGAGCGAGGTCAGCTGGAAACGCAAACCAGGGAGCTGGAGACGGCCTACGGCAACCTCCTGCAGGACAAGTCGGTGCTGGAGGAGGAGAAGCAGCAGCTGGTGGCAGAGAACGAGGGTCTGGCCAGGAGGCTGGAGAGCAGCCTCCAGGAGATAGAAAGGCTGAGGAGGGACCAGTGTCCCCAAGCCCGCAGCACCTCGCTGGGTGTGCCACCAGGCTCCAGGGAAGAAGGTAAGAAGGTGACATTGTTCAGGGTGGCCTGTTGCATGTGGCCAGGTCTGTCCTTCTGCCCTCTCCTTCCTCCCGGAGACCACACATCAGCCTGGGGCCGATGGCGAAGGAGGGCAAATCCGTGGCTGTCCCCCGTCACTGGCATCCCGATGGTGACGGTCCCGTGTGGGTCAGGGGTGCGGAATTTTGCGCCCAGCGAAGCTCCCAGCAGGTGAACGGGAAGGACCAGGTGAGATGCTCCGGGCAGGGTCTGTAGCAAGTGCTCCCTTCTCAGAAAACGATCCTGTCCTGAGCAGCCGATCCCCACCTTTGGGGGTTGAGATGACCCCCATTTAGGAAACGACAAGGGATTAAGAAATAATGCGAGGTGGTCACTCTGTGGGGTGTTTTAGTTCTCGGATGTCCTTCCTTGGCCACACAAAGAGGCAGTCACCCTTGGTCAGTCCCTCGCTGTGTTTCTGGACGTTTTCCTTCCCTGTCGTCTGAGAACCTGTCGGTCTCCAGGCTGCTCATGGCGGAGGCTCTTGCTAAGTGAGACGCTAGCGTCCATCCCGGCCCCGCAGATGGGGAGTCTGTGGGTGTGTGCGGGGGAGGGGCGGGCACACTCCCCCCAGGAGAGGGGAAGACGGTACTGGTACCACTGTTTGTGAAATTGCACCCCCAGTGTTCACTGTTGAAGACGTCGTCCAATCAGGAGGAAGCAAGCAAGTCGATCCGGTTGTAGGACAGTTAGTCTGGACTCTTCAAAGATGTGAAGGTCAAGACTGAAAGGGACTGGAGACACGCAGTGACCCCATGCGGCCGTGACCCTGAAGTGGCTCCTGTGTCCGGGGCAGAAGAGCCACAGGGGGCAGGTTTGGGATCAGTGGGGGGATTTGCGTGTAGACTGCTGAGCAGATAGTGGGATTGGATTCATGTTAGGTTCCAGCGTGTGCCTGACGATCCGATCACACACGCTGATTCTACAGAACAGGGGTGATGGGGCAGCAGCCAGGACAGTGGTCAACTGGTCTTCTCTCTCCCTGAGTTCTCACAACAACCTGTAATCATGTGGACACCCCGATTTCTCTTCATCCTCTCCATTTATACAATACTGACCTAACTGTTCAGGCAGTGATAGAAAAAACTATAAACATCATTACAATGTCTCTTGCCCATATGTACTATATTCGACGTCTGAGTTAAGCTCTCTTGAAGGTGCCGACACAGCAGGGGTCTGAGGGAGACAGGGAGGAGTACGCCGATTTTCAGAATTCTGTAACAGACACGAACCTTTCCCCCTAGGACTGAATTTTAATAGAAACAGAGCCCGAAAAACATTGAACAGTCTGATACTATATAGTCCTTAATATATTCATAACCTCCTTCCCCCCCCCCCTTCGGAATGAGCTATGATTCTGAAACATTCCCAAGAAATTTTTGTGTTGACACATCCTTATTGAGGACCATTTTATTTATACTCTGAGCTAAGAATACTGAGGCTCAGAGAGGTTGAGTCACTTGCCCGAGGTCAAACAGCAGGACTGAGCTAGGAAGCTCGGACTCCCGCCCAGCCCAGGCCCCGTCACACGGCTGCTGTGCTGCCTTCCGGCCTGGACCTCCGGGCCTTGTGTCCTGTCCCGCGGGCTCCGGCCCCCACGCCAGACGCTCTGCTCTGGGGGTCTGACCACCGCCAGATGTTCTGGCCCAGGCCGCCGAGTAGAAGCCAGCAGGCTTACAATCCAGCCAGCCACCTGCCAACTGAGCCGGCCTTGCACTCACTGGGGAGCGCTCCCTGACATGATGTTTTATCGTGATGCTTGTTTACTTCAAAGCACATGCCCAGTGGCTCCTGCAAAGCATGGTGGGAAAGGGGAGGGAGGGAGAGGGAGGGCCAGGGAGAGAGCGAGGCAGAGCGACATCTTCGAGGTAACCATCTGTCCCACAGAGCAGGTTAGGTGGGGGCATCTAATCCAAAGAATCTGTCTCTGTATTGTGAGAGGACATTTATTAAAGCTGGGACAGTGACACGGGAAGGGCTTAGGGCAGAAGCAGCAGCAGGAGAGACCAGGCGGGGCTGTCGGCTCACTGGGAGTCAGAGAAAAGGGGCCTTGGGGACAGGTTCGGGGGTGAGCCCTGACAACTGCCACTGCCCATGCCCCCCCCCCCCCGTTGCAATTCTCCTGGGGACCCTTAGAGTCTAGAACGCTGCCTGTGGAGGACGAAGAGGGGGAGGGGAAGGCATGGGAGCTCCCCGGGAGGGAGGACACTGTCAAGAATCATTAGCAGTGACAAAAGAATAACACGACATGTAAGTAAAGGCTACGTAGCACCCTTGGGCTGAGGAAGGACGGACTTGAAGGGGTTGGGACCTCAGTAGGAAGGCGGGGTTCAGCCCATCAGACAGGAGGGAAGGTGGGGCATCTGGCTGGGAGCTGCAAAGACCACCCCCCGAGGGCAGGCCCAGGACCTGTGGCTGGGTGCAGAGGTGTCAGGGACAGGCTGCAGCGGGAGGGGTCCCCGTGCAGGGACTCTGGGTTCCCTGCTGAGAGGGCCATGGCGAGGTCAAGGCCAGGCCACAGCTTCCGGAACTCCACCCAGGGTGCTCACACTCAGGCTACCCACCCACCCCCAGAAGACGGGAGAACTGCCGCCTCCCACCATGGCGCTCCAGCGCCCTCTACTGAGACAGCGCCGCACTGCACTCCCTCCAAAGGAGAAACGCCTTGTTTTTCAGGGCATCCAGCCCTGAGAGGCAATAGATCCACTTACAAGTGACACCCCCTCCCCCACAAGGTGGAAAGGGTCACAGCTGCCGTGGCCTTGGCAGAAGCGTGACCTCCAGCAAGTTACTCAAGCTCTCTGAGCCTCAGCTGCCTCGTTTACGAAATGTAGATACAGGTGGACTAAAGAGGAGATGATAGCCGGCTCACCTTTCCTTTGCAGACCAATCAGTCCACGGCCCATCCCCCTCAGGCTCTCACACCCACATCAGCTAGTCCCCTGCTCTGGTCACCCAGGGATAGCGCCCCTGGAAATGATTCAAAGTGGCCAGTCCCAACTCTATGACGCTGCCTCACCTGCTCCTTCCCACTGAAAGCACCCGGCCTTGCCCAGGGCTCCCCTCCCTCCTGACCCAGCCGGGCAGCCCTGGGTGGCCCCCTGGTACGGGCCCCTCCTCTCAGATCAGTGAGAATTACAAGGAGTGTCGACTCCTGGCCTGGGGTCTCCCCGTACCCAAATCACAAACCTACAGTTAAAAAAGATTTTTTTTTCCTTTATTGGTTTTAGAGAGAGAGGAAGGGAGAGGGAGAGACAGACAGAAACATTGATGAGAGAGAACATCGACTGGCCGCCTCCTGCACGCCCCCCACTGGGACCAGGCCCACAACCTGGGCATGTGCCCTGACCGGGGATAGAACCAGCGACCTCCTGGTGCAGGGTCGACGCTCAACCACTCCAGCGAGGGATTTGTGAGCTTTTTTATGGAATTCTCCCAACATTCACAAAAGCGGAGAGAATGATAGGAACCCCAACAGACCCATCTCCCGCTCCGAGATCCCCGCTCACTGCCAGCAAAGTCCGGTTTGTCTTATCTCCCTCCCCGCACTGACCGTCCTCAGACACATCTCAAACATCACGCTGTCTCCGGAAGCTGATGGAAATGCGGTCCTCGGCCTCGTCGCCGGGCCATGTTCCTCGGGGTGGTGCCACATTGTCTCTTTCTCTGGCTGCAGTTTCTAGAAGGACTTCGGAGACCTCGGACTTCCAGGAACTGAAGTCGGAGTTAACAGAGGTTCCCGCCTCCAGAATCCTGAAGGAGGGCCCACCTGGTCATCCCGGCACTGAAGAGGGGGACACCGGTAGGCAGTGAAGTGTGCTCTCTGGTGCCCCCATGTGGTCTTTATCTGCATCTGGTCCTGTGTCTGCTCCCTCTCCGGGGCAAGTCCTCAGGAGCACACAGGCTACCAAAGGCATCTTTTCTGAGCTGTGGGTACTTAGGGAAAGTGCACCTCCCCTGTCAGGTGTTCCCTGAGAGCCTGAAGCTAAGACCAGGCTGTGATTTCCGAAACGGGGACCGTGTGCTGTTGACAGCTGTTGCTGGCACTGAGGGACAGGCATGGGGACGCGGTGTTTGGAAATACTCAAAGCAAGATTCCCTGAGATACGAGTACTTTCTCTAGTAAATTCTCGCCTTCTCTAAAGACATTGAGGGTCCCTGCTCGAGTACAGACATTTGTTGTGATTCTGCTAAAGTTAAAAAAAATATATTTTTTCTTCATTAGGTGTGTAAAATTGTATTCAGATTTTATTGCATTAAAATCATGCATGAAACATATGGTCCATCCCTTAGGGCTTGAATAATTCTGTCTTAGAGAGATTAGAATGATGTTATTTTTGTCTCATTTTTAAAAAATAATGAGATGAATCAGAGATGACAGTCATAGAGAATAATATAACGAACCCACGTGAGACCCTGGGCAGGGTAAGCGGAATAGGACAAATACAGCCTCTGCGGAGGTTCGGTTCTCATCCCACGATCGCGTAACGTTTACTGGCCGTTTACTCTAACCAAGCACTGAACGTGTCTCCTTACACTGGAGATGGACAACAGCCCGACTACCCCAAACACGATCACCATCCCCCTTCCCAACGAGAAAGCTGAGGCAGAGAGAGCAAAGGAAGTCACTCAGCCAGCAGGTGGCAGAGTCTGTCTCTGGGCCCCGGAGAGACCGTGAGTCGGTGTTTTTGTTGTTGTTCTTCCTTCACCAGGATGCGGAGAGCTGGTTTGGGTGGGGGAGCCTGTGACTCTGAGAACAGCTGAAAGCATCACGGGCAAGTACGGGGTGTGGATGAGAGACCCCAAGCCCGTCTACCCCTACACCCAGCAGAGCACGTGGAGGATCGACACGGTGGGCACGGGCATCCGCCAGGTGTTGGAGTACAGCCAGCTCAGCCAGTTCACGCAGGGCTACGCTTCCAAGGTGCACGTGCTGCCCCGGCCGCTGGAGAGCACGGGCGCGGTGGTCTACGGGGGGAGCCTCTACTTCCAGGGGGCGGAGTCCCGGACGCTGATCAGGTACGAGCTGAGCACCGAGACCCTGAAGGCCGAGAAGGACATCCCCGGGGCCGGCTACCACGGACAGTTCCCCTATTCCTGGGGCGGCTACACCGACATTGACCTGGCCGTGGACGAGTCCGGCCTGTGGGTCATCTACAGCAGCGAGGACGCCAAAGGTGCCATTGTCCTCTCCAAGCTGAACCCCGAGAGCTTGGAACGTGAGCAAACCTGGGAGACTAACATCCGGAAGCAGTCGGTGGCCAACGCCTTCGTCATCTGCGGGACCCTGTACACCGTCAGCAGCTACTCGTCGCCTGACGCCACTGTCAACTTCGCCTACGACACGGGCACCGGGAGCAGCAAGGCCCTAGCCATCCCGTTCCAGAACCGCTACAAGTACAGCAGCATGATCGACTACAACCCCCTGGAGAAGAAGCTGTTCGCCTGGGACAACTTCAACATGGTCACCTATGACATCAGGCTGTCCAAGGTGTGAAGGGCAGCCAGGCGGTGTCGGCTGAGGCAGCGGGGCGCCAGCCCCAGCCCACGCCGCTTCGCTGCTCGCCCAGCTCCGGCGTCCCGGGCCGGGGCCTCGGGCTGTGTCCCCGGGCAGAGCAGCCTGGGCCCCGCGCTTCGCAGCACACACGCTTTTCTTTTGGCGGCTCTTAAAGGGATGTTTCGCCGACAGTTTAAGCTTTCTGGCGATCCGGGCAAACGCTGTGGTGCGGGGTGGTTTCCCCAAGCTTTGTGCAAACCCCAGGGCTTTTCACAAACGGCCTTCTCTGGCGAGAGGAGAGGTTTAGAGAGAGTTTGGGGAGTCAGGCCGGAAGCCAGGGCCACACCACGGGGAGAGCAGCCCGTCTGCGGGGACAGGGACACTCTGTGGCCAGACTGGTTACAGAGACGCACGGCTCCTCGCGCTCCAGGTAGAGTCCAGGTGGGCACCCACAGCCTCCGCCTGCGCAGTAAAGTACTGAACACGCCCTTCTGTACGTTGTGGGGTATTTTGCATAAGGGACGAGTCTAGTCTCCAACCATCACATAATTCCTTTGGGTTGGGAGCTGTGATGGCAGAATGCTCAAGGTGGGGTGCGCGCGCATATGTGTGTGTGCGTTCACGTGTGTGCATGTGTGCCTGTGTGCATGTGTATGTGTGCAGTCACGTGTGTGCGTGTATGTGTGCGTTCACGTTGTGCATGTGTGCCGGTGTGCGTTCGCGTGTGTGCGTGTGTGCATGTGTGCCGGTGTGCGTGTGTGCCTGTGTGCCTGTGTGCGTGTGCATGCACGCACCTGCGTGCATGTGTGTGTGTGTGTGCATGTAACAGAGGTGTTGCCCAGGATGACACCTGGCAAACAGTGGAATGACACCTTCCCAGCCCCACCTTCTGCTCCTCTTGGTTCTTCCCAAACCATCTTCTCATCTTTCCCCAACTCGTTCTAACTCCACTTGGCTTCTTATTTGCTGCCATGGGCGTGAGTTTCATAAACTACAGCCTCAGGTGAGCAGACCTGAATAACTGAACTTATCTTGGGGTGCCGTCGTACCTAATGGGCAGAACACCTTCTCCTGCCAGTGCAGCGTGGACTGTTCCTCGGCTTCCTGTCTATTCGGGGCTCTGCTCTCCCTGTTCTCCGGGGCGGCATCTGCGGTGGAGATGAGCAAGGGAGGGGCATCCAGCCAGGAGGCGCAGGATCCAGGCGCCCTCTCCCCACACCATCTGCAGTCATCAGCGCAGACGGCGTGGCTGTGACGCAGAGCCCCCAGCGCTGGTGTCCTCCACGTTCCGGCCTTTGCCCAGCCTGTCTGCGCCCCACCAGGGACAAGGAACATGTCAGGAGCTCACCTGTGCCACAGAACTCAGGGTGCTTGGGCCCTTTCCCCCAGATAGACCTCAGGGTCCCTTTGGTTTTCCTGCTGGTGAAGGGTCACCTCTCTTGGAACTTTGCCACCAACACACACTTTACCCAGAACAAGCAAACATCTCCTCTTGGTGTCTCATGCCCCAAACTCTGGGATCAAAGGCCTGTCAGGAACGCTCGCTCTAGAAGCCAGACTGTGCCTCTTCTTTCCTGAAACCCCCTACAGCTTCCCATTTTACTCAAAGTCAGAGCCCCATCACTGTGGCTGCATCTTCTCCGAATGTCCCCCGATTCCTTCCGCTCCAGCCACGTCCCACTGGCCTCCTAGCGCCCTTTGAACAACCAGGGCACCCTTGGGTCCTTAGGGCTTTGCACTGGCCCTTCCCTCTGTCCCTGATGTCCAGGCACCGAACTCCATCACCATTTTCAGTCCTTACTCAGATGTCACCTTCCGAAGGAGCTGTACCCAGACCACCCTGTTGAAACTTTTGCTGCCGCTTCTGGTCTTCCTGACCCTGTCTTATTCTTTTAACACTTCTCCACGTATCATTTCCTGACGTATAACTCACTGTTTACATTGGATACATAATTCACTGTTTACATTGGACACACAATTCACTGTTTACATTGGACACACAATTCACTGTTTACATTGGATACACAATTCACTGTTTACGTTGGATACACGTCCCACACTGAAATGGAGGCTCGGAGCAGGTGTGGATGGCTTTGTTCAGTGGAAATACTCAAGAATATTTTTTGAGCAAATGACCAGGAAAAACAACAATCCTGAAACAAGTTCAGAAACTGGAAGGAACTACCACCAGAGTTCGTGTTGGCCCTTCTCACCTTCCCCCTCCTTGAGTCTGTTCCTCGCTGACCACGACCTCAGACAGGACCCTCAGCCTCGGTCCCAGCTGCTGTCTGGTAGAACTTTCTGTTCTTTCTACACCATCCCATGTGGCAGCCACCGGTCACGAGTCATGACTGGGCACCTAGAATGTGGCTAGTGAGACCGAGGCACTGAATTTCCTATTTTACTTAATGTTAATGAATTTAAATGTAAGTGGCCACGTGCGGCTCGTGGCTTCACTGTGGGCAGCACAGATCTGCCTCCTCCTTGGACTGAGATGATGGTATGTGCATGTCGGACGCCCAGCTGGCAATGCCAGGTGCCCCCCGCGTGCCCCCCGAGACCCGCGTTGCTGCAGCAGACCCCAGAGGAGGGGCCTGACTTGCACACCAACGGCACAGCCGCGGGCTATGCAGGCAGGGGTCCGGAGCACACTTTGAGGGCAGCCAGGAGAAAGAACATCTACCAAGACTACGAAGAGGTGGACGATATCAAAGACGGCACCTGTGTGGCTCAGTAGGTTGGGTGTCGTCCCATGCACCAAAAGGTTGTTGGTTTGATTCCCAGTCAGGGCACATGCCCGGGTTCCGGCTCGATCCCTGGTAGGAGGTGTGCAGAGGCAGCCAATAGATGTTTTACTCACACATTGCTGTTTCTCTCTCCTCTCTCTCTCTCTCCTCTCTCTCTCTCCTTTCCTCTAAAAAACATCTTAAAAAAAATGACACTGAACAATCACCTTTTTGATGCGTTTGAACTGTTCAGAGAACTGCGGGGACCCTTCGGGGAGCTTTGGGACCCGTGGGAGCCTTCAGTGTGGGGTCTGAGCAATATACTCCCCCCAACGAGGTCTCTGCTCTCGGCTGCAATCAGGGTGCGATTCTTCTGTTGTGATTCAGGCTGAGCTTTGCAAACCCAAGTATCCCAGGGTTCTCTGGAGCTGGGATCTTCACACAGGGGCCTGGGCTCTCCAGCACCCTGATTTAGTAACAAACACTGAGGCCCGATTGTTGTGTGTGTATGTGTGTGTGTGTGTTTTATTCAAACACAACCAACTAGTAAGTGTCCTACAGCGTGACGGGAATGAAAGATCAATATACGGCCACGTCAGAGACTCGGCTCGAAGACCAAAGAGATGGCTCTGCATGTGTTCGTGGGATGACAATGGGGTGGGGGTGGGGGGACAGGAAAGAGCACACAGGTCTGCCAAGGTCGCCCTCAAAGACAACCCATGGCCTGGAAACCGCTCCCTGGAGCCTCAGGTCCAAGTCTATTTCAAAATGACCGCCGTCTGCGCGCCTAGGAGGCTTTGAGGTCCTCAGCTGGAGAGGGTGGCGGGGCTGGGGGGACTGGGGGGTCGGTGGTGCCAGGGGAGGGGACTTGATCCGAGTCCGAGAACATCTCCTTGGCTTCCTCACACGTCTGGGTAAACGTCTCTTCTCTGGGAGGGAGGCACAATGAAGGCTATTTCAACAAAGACAGGACTTTTTAAAAGAAGGAAGAACCCCCCCAGCCCCCAGCCCTGGAAGAGACCCGCTTCCTGCCCCGTCTACCAAGGCTGAAAACAGGCAACACGCTGCCGGTACACTTTGACCGAGTCAGCTGTTCCCGGGGCAACTGGCCGTGCGCAGGGCCCTGCGGCCCCGATGGCCCCGATGGCCCCGCCCGCCCCTGCCCGCGGCTCTCCGCCGGCAGCCCAGGGCAGCGCCTCCTCTAGCTTTCACGGCACCCCAGCTTTTCTTGGCCAGCTCAACCCCAGGCTCCCTTCGCCTCCCCTTCCTGCCTAACTTACCCCCCCGCCCCGCCCAGGGCTGGGCAAATACTGCTTTTAAGGACCTATGACTAGCCCATCAAGTGCTAAAGACCCAGATTTCAGGGTCCCCTGACCACCTGTGATGTTGCAGGGACCGGAAATGAAAGAGAAACGAACAACATGCAGATTCTCAGCCACGTCTCACGTCTCCCGGGGAGCCTTTCGGCCCGGGGCGCCGAGACGGACGGCGCCTGGCCCCGGTCCTGGGGCCGGTGCAAGGCGGACTAGACGGCGGACTGGGACCTCCTGACCCCGAGCTCGTGCTGCCGTCTCAGGCAGCGTGGGTCCCCAGCACCGCTCCGCAGATGAGGGGTGCTGAGGGGTCCCGAACTGGGGGGGGCTCCTCCTTCTTGCATGGACGTCAGAGCACAGTGGCCATGGCCCGGGAGACAGTCTCAACCAGTGGTCAAATCTGCCACGTATCACCACCAGTAAGTGTTCCTACAGCCTGTGGCCGTGTTAACTGGGAAGCCGCACACCCTTTACCAGTTCATGGACATCTTATGCTCCAGTAACCTCTAAGGCGAGCTAGCATTGTGAACAATATTGGATACAGGTCCATATTTTAAAATCAATATTTAAACATTTTTTCTGACTAATGTATCAGGTGTAATAAAGTCATTATTTTTAAGCTGAGCCTGACAACTCAGAAGGGCCAGCCCTGCCAACTTGTTTTTTAAAATTCTTTTTTCTTTATTGATTTTAGAGAGAGAAGAGAGAGGGAGAGAGACAGAAATATCGGATGAGAGAGAACATCGACTGGCCGCCTCCTGCACGCCCCCCACTGGGGATCGGACCCACAACCTGGGCATGTGCCCTGACCGGGAATCGAACTGGCGACCTCTTGGTGCAGGGGTTGACGCTCAACCACGAGCCACCCCGGCTGGGCAGCCCTGCCAACTTTTGTTCTTTACTCGTATTTGCCTTATTAGGATTATTTCAACCCAGGTTTCCCGGCAGAAGTTAAGAGCAGATAACATAACTCGGAAACCCAGATAACCAACACCCACCGTGACAGGTGGGCACTGGCCGTGAGGGAAGAAGCCCCGCCCACTTCCCCCAGCGCCTGCCCCTCCCCCAGAAAGCCTCAGCTTCTACCCAGGACCTGTGACACACGCCGGGTGGCATCTGGCGCACAGGGGTTCCCACAGAGCTCAGTTTCAATGGGAGCGGCGTCCTACTGTGCTGTTCACCCACCTTCGTCTGCGGGGGTCTTCCGATCAGCGAGAGACCGCCCTCCCACAGCGACCAGACTTTGCAAAGGAAATACCAGGTGCCAACTCAACAAACACCCTTTCTTTTGGGCCAGACAACTGTGAGGTGTTTTTCTTCTAACTGGGCACCAGGCACATCATGGGGAAGGAGACAGAGTCCCTGCCTACAGGGAGCTTACAGCCTTATTGGGAATGAGGGCGACTTCACGGGGTCCATGCTGCCCCCAAACTTTGTAGTCATGCATTTTTTTTCTTGATTGATTTTAGAGAGAGAGGGAGAGAGAAAGAGATCGAAACATCGATGAGAGAGAACATCGACTGGCCGCCTCCTGCAGGCCCCCCACTGGGGATCGGGGCCACAACCTGGGCACGTGCCCCGACCGGGAATCGAACAGGCGACCTCTTGGTGCAGGGGTCGACGCTCAACCACTGAGCCACACCGGCCGGGAGCAGTCATGCATTTTTATATGAAGAGGGTACCTTGTAACTTGCGTCTGATTATCAAGGGAAAAGTCAGTTCCTCGCAGCGGATGACAAAGCAAGTTCTCATTCACAAAGTCTGCCTCCTCACAGCCGTGGAGGAACACATTTAAACACAAATGAATACATCTGAATACATCTGCATGCACCAGTGTCTGCCTAGCTTCAGGCGCCGCCCGACCCGCTGAGCTCCGAGTACCTGGTGGCCATGGTGAACCTGCGTCTGGTCACCTCGGATGCCAGGTCCTTGTAGAGGAGGTTCAGGCTGTTGCCCACGGGGCTTTTCTGAGCCATGGCCTCGCACTCGGAGGACTCGAGGATTTAGATCCAGGCCACCTGTGAATGTGAGACGCGAGCACCAGCAACACACGCAGCAGGGGGCCGAGGAAAGCAGCTGGGTCCAGCCCGGCAAGGTGTGCGGAGGGCTTTCCCTGCCTTTCCTGCAGCCTGTCCCCAGCCCCAGCCCCGACCTGAGGCAGTAGCTCCTCGAATCCCTGCCAGGGGGAGTTGGGCCTCCCAGCCTTGCAATGTGACGATGGAGGCCCAGAGCGCCGGACTGACTCCCGAGTTGCACAGCTGGGCCCTGTCGGGCGCTTGCTCCCCTCAAACGGGGGCCAGAGCCTCGGAGCTGCTGACACCTGCTGGGCTTTCCGCCCAGGGAACTCACCTTCTAAAGAGCAGAAAGGGGACACGACAAAGCTGCAGCTCGGGGCCGGGCTACTTGCTCAGATGTGCTCCGAGGCTCGATATTGAACAGAAATCATCGCGGCCACCCATTTAGGGCCACGGAGGGGTGTCCTTTCACAGGACCTCATTTGATAACCACAGTAAGTGGTAGGTGGTAAGGTCCCCATCGAACACAGGGGGACGAGCAGCACTCAGTGGCTCCCGCAGGGCCACGGGGCTGGGACCTGAACCTGGGGCTGTCTGGCTTCAGACTGTGCTCCCCCACCTCAGGGCTGAGCAGCCGTCTGCCTCGGTGCCGAGCCACCGCCCAAGGACCGGAGCCCGGCGCCCATTTGTGGCCACCCGGTCAGCTGTGGCAACAGCGCCGTTCGTAGACCCTGGGCTGCAGTGGTCGGAGCTCACCAGCCGGTCTTCTGGCTGGAAGCTTGTTCTTAAGAGAAAGCCCAGCTGACTTACCTTCCGACGCCAGACGAGCTCAGTCTAGAACCCCTTCCACACCTCAGCTCATGGCCTTGCAGAGAAACGCCCTGCCGACAACTGTCTCCGCATGTCCGCTCCGCCCCCTCCTCCGAGAATGGAAAGGCTGACCCGCACCACCCTCCGCCGCCCCGTCTTTATCCTCCTGGAGGCCCTCTAAGGAGCTGGACTTGATGGCATTCATCTGCGCCCTTCTCTGCAGCTGCGGATACAAATTACGCCTGCAGCACTGACCTGATGAGAACGCCCCCAGATAGGCAGGTGGGTCGGCGCTGGGGAAGGGCATTCTGCCCTGGGCAGGGAGGAAGCGCCCACTAGATGCTGGCGACCGAGAGGAGGCCTGTGGACTATATTTGAAAACTAACTCAGGCGTACCCCTCCTCCCAGCACCATGACTCCGAGGCCACGCCTTCCCGGCGATGGACAGCGCTCCTGCAGGGGTGGCAGGTGCTCTGCCTTTGAAAGGGTTGATTGACGGCAGGACTGACTCCCAGTGCAAGCCGACGGATCCTGGGCGAGTCATTTGATGTCAATGAGCCCGTTTTCGTACCTGTAAAGAGGAGTAACTCTTTCTCCTAGGGCTGTTGCGAGGATTGAGAAAATGTTTGCAAAAAGCCCTGACTTTATTCATAGTTGGATTGTTGGATGTGTGTGTGTGCACGTTTGGCAGTGGCGAGCCCTTGGCGGGAGCCCAACCAGCATTTAACGGAATCAGAACCCGCGGGGCGCGGTGCTCCCATCAGCCAGCATTGCCCAGGTCTCCCAGGTGGGGAGGGTTGTCAACGAAGACAGGTTTCTGTGGTGTCAGAAGCAATGACTGGATGTCTACTTCAGGGGACGTGGGGACCGTACTGATTTCTTAGAAAAACGATCTTTTTTGTACATGTTGCCGTGTTGGTGTCACAGCTTGGGAGAACCATGCCTGGGTTCTCGGTGGGAGACCTGGGGAATCCAGGCGCATCGGAAGTGGTTATATGTGAGATTCTAGTTTAGCAAATGTTTTGAAGAAATGCATAGACTTCACCAAAAGTCTGGTGGAGCCCTGGCTGGTTTGGCTTCGTGGTTAGAGCGTCAGCCTGTGGACAGAGGGATCTCGGGTTCGATTCCCAGTCAAGGGCACGGGCCTGGGTTGCAGGTTTGATCACCGGCCCCGGTCAGGGTTGCCCAGGAGGCAACCAACTGATGTGTCTCTCTCCCTCCCTTCCACTCTATCTAAAAACAAATGGAAAATGTCCTTGGGTGAGGATTAACAAAAAATAAAAATAAAAGATTGAATGGAAAACAAACGTATACCTAACACATAATCAAATGAAGGTGATTTTCATCAACAGGTCAGCCGTGCTCAACTGCAGCCGGTGGGCAGGAGACGGTGAAGACACCAAAGATGCCCAGAAGCTAGGAAATGTGCTGCGACTGAGCACGAAAAACCCTGGTGACGTGTTAACAAAGACACACCTACAAGGTTTAAGTTCCGACGGTCTATTCTTGACATTTTACCTTTTAAATTTATTTGAGACAGAGGAAGGGAGAGGGAGAGAGAAACCATCGACTGGCCGCCTCCTGCACGCCCCCTACTGGGGATCGGGCCACACCTGGGCATGTGGCCTGACCAGGAATCGAACCAGCGACCTCTTGGTGTGTGGGTCAACGCTCAACCACTGAGCCCCACCAGCAGCAGGGGAACTCTCGACCTTTTAAAGTCCAGGATGCGTCCTGACCCCACCTCTCCACCTCGCCTCCGGCCAAGAGGATGTTGAGCTTTACTTTCTGTAGTTCGTATTGTGAAAACAAGTCAATAAAATGCCTTTTCGAACCATCCCCGCCCCCATTCTCCAACCCTACCCCCCCCCTCTTTTCTTCCATCACAAAGCACAACTTGTCATTAGCGAAGGACAAAGGGCAGAGAATGTTCCAGGCCCACCATCAGCTGCTGACTCATCTGCGTTATCCTGTCATGTCAGAGGAGCTGGAGACGAGGCTTGTACGACCAGACTGGGGAGCAGCACTTAGACAAGTATCTTTATTTTTTTATCCTCACCCGAGGACATTTTTCCACTTTTGTTCAGATACAGTGGGAGAGAGAGAAACATCGATGTGAAATCGATGTGAAAGGGACACATCGAGTGACTGCCTCCCGCAGAACCCAACCAGGGCCAGGGATGAATCGCAACCGAGGTACGTGCCCTTGACCAGAATTAAACCCACAACTCATTGGTCCGCAGGCGGACGTTCTAACCACTGAGAAACCAGCCAGGGCTTCATTTTATGTTATTGATTTTAGAGAGGGAGAAAAACAACTGGCCACTTCCTTCGTGCCCCCAACTGGGGACCTGGCCCTACCTGGGGCAGGGGCACCGGCCAGAGACACGGAATACACAGCTGTGAGTACTGCCATCTCCTGTGGGCCCGCACCTTCAACTTCTGCCCAGAATGGTGACACTACTTTCTACACTCAGCATCATGAAGAAAGGTCTCTCCTCCTCGAGGACAGACCGTGTCAACCCGAGAACGGCCGCCCCAGCACGGGCCGCAACCTTACCCCGCGCGACCTCCTTCGGAGCGAGCCTCGGTTCCTAGTCAGAAACTAAGTCTGAGTCATGATGTCCACTGCTTCTGCTGGATGAGTCTTCGGATTTGAGACATGGATCAGAAGCCCCAAGATTCATTATTTAGAGAATACTTTATTAGTTTCTGTAATCAAACCCATGTAGATTAAGACCTTACATATTTAATACAGTGCGTTACCCCTGTACAAATGGAAAAAATTATGTTGAACGTTTCTAGACCAATATGGCTGTTAATTTCTGTACAATGCCAACCCAACACAGTACAACTGGGGTAGTTTTTCCAAAGTTGACAGCACAGCTAAAGTTTCCAAAAATTCAAATTATATATATATGTATATGTATGTACTTATTTATATAAAAGACCATCGCAGTGTGTTAGCATCGGTAGCAGCAGCCTTCCGGGTGATGTGTCATCGGAACAGAACCACAGACATCCAGCACACTCCATAAAAAAAAAAGAAAAAGGTACAAAACAAATCCCCAGAAAACAGCAAAGTTCCGTTACTGCTGTGATACCTGGCACCATCTTTGTTCTATTATTAGCGTCTCCGTCGTGTCCGGAGGAAACGCGCTAGAACATCATCATTAGGAACAGCTCTGAGAAAGCACGGCCACGACCACGTCAGGAAGCAGGAGCGAGGTGTCCACATTCACGGGGCGACACAGCACTGCCTACAGCTACACTACTAGCGGGACGGACAAAGGCGTTGAGACTTGATTCTGTTTCCCAGCAGGGCCCAGGGGTGGGCTGCGGCTCCGGGAAGAAGCCTCCTCAGACAGATGTCCTTGTGTTTGCAGCACAGTTCCAGATGCTCACTGATCTTCATGAGTATCACCCCAAAACCATGTTAAAAAGACCGAAACAACAACAACCAAAGAAACCCCACCACACCCCACTGGATCCCTGCAGAAATGACCGAGCGAAGGCAGGCAAGATGCGCCTGATGAGCACTCGCCAAGTCTGTGTCTGGGGTCAGGGCTCCACAACCAGAACACAGCGTCATTCCACGCAGAGGCAGCCGCCAAACGCTGCCCACTGGGGCATGTTCAGGATGCGGACAGCACTGTTCCACCATCGCTCACTCATCCAGGAAGGAGGGAGGTCAGTTACTAGACTTTGTGTTCGACTCAATTACCAGGTCATAAAGACAGCCAGCTGAAGGCGGCACAGGCCCTCCTGCAGCCCACCCTCGTGCTCCTCACCACCGGGCGGCCCCCACCGCATCCGCAGGCCGAAGGGAGCAGTCGCAGCTGCTCTGCCAGCTGGGCCCACCGCACCGTTCGGGGCCGGGCTAGCCCCTGCAGTTACTTTCCTCTATTTCTGGTCTCATCTAACCATAAGGACCAAGTTCTAAAGGACACGCACTCCAGGAACGCGTGCACATGTGTGTAAAATCGGACCGCCAGGTGCGCGGCCACCGCCAGGGTGCATGCTGTGTAGTGGGTGTGAGCTGGCAAGCCTCGGGGTGTGGGTGCGGCCCGTGTGCCTCTGAGCCCGGGACTGGAGAGGGACTGGAGAACGTCACAGACCATTCTCACCTCTGGCTGCTGGATGACCTGGCTGCACCCTTCCTTCTCCCCTCCCTCCTCCCCCAGGCCCCTGCAATAAACCACAGCCTTTTAAGATTTTGTTTCTTCGGTTTTGATGGCCTGAGGTTTGATGGGTCCAGTCCGAACAGGTTTGGTGGCCATGGTGGGTGCAGGGGGGGGCTTTTCTTCTGCTTTGTCCTGACAGACACCAGGAGCAGCGGCCAGCGTCTCGGGGGGCTTGCTCGGATCGCCGTCCACCTTCGGGGCCTTGCCGCCTATCTGTTTGCTCTGCTGCTGCTCAGAGAAGAAGCGCTGCGTGGACTGAAGAACCTCTGCTCTCTGCTTGGCCTTAAAGAACGAGAAGCGACAACTGAAGACGCGGCAGCATCACCAAAGCCTGTCAATCACTCTCAGTGTGAATTCTTCCACCAATCACCAATCACCTTCCCCACGGTGGTCTGGCCCACACCAAAACCTGATTGATTTTTCAGCTTTTAATGGGTAGATGTCTTCCTATCTCTGAAAACATTCCATGTGATTTTTCTCTTAATATTTGAAAAGACAGGACCACCTCCCACCACCTTTTCAAAGTTTGCCCTCTAATAAATTAATAACATAAGAATTGCTGTTGGTTTGTATCTTTTCTGGGACAAACTTTACTGATATCGAATTGTCTCTAGGGGGCCTGCTTGCAAACTTGAAACATCTATGCAACATTTAAAGCTTCTAGTTAGCACTCTGCGGTCTACAGTGAAAGGAAAGGAAGCACTTATATTGCGGCATTACCAACACCTAGGACCAAATGGCTCGTGGCTGAGTCCTCTTCCCACAGCTCTCTTCTGCAGGGGAGAGCACCAGAGGTTAGTAACTACGACTTCCCCGGCCACCACGTCTGACACTCCTACCACCCTGAGCTGGGGTAACTGCCTCGTCTCAATGACTGCGTGCCCCCAGCATATACTTACGCCGACCTGTGCATGACACCCCTGTTCCACACCTTTCTACACCTCTTGCATATAAAAAAGCCCTACACATTCTACAGATCATTTGTACTGTCCAAAAATCTGAAGCAATTTTTAAATTTTTGCCCTCCTCCACCCATTAAGCTCCAGTGCCATTTCCAACACGGGAATTTATGAAAACTCAAGAGCCAAGGAGCCCGGAGCAGAACTGGAAACCAAGGCCGAATCGTGCCCAGAGATTCCCACACATACTAGTTGTCTGCGACAGTCACGATGAGATGGAAACCCTAAGCACACAGCCTTCGTAAGAGCAGGGAATGTTTCAGTTTCTCTGCAGGGCAGTCTTCACACGTGATCACTCAAGACCAGAAGAAGGAAGGGACATCGCCCAGAAAGCAGCTTCAGCCGCCCCCGCCCCACGGGACGCCGTGCACAGGTTCCGCCTCGGCTGGGCCCACTACGGCAGCTCCCCGGCCAGAGGCACAGGGGCGGCACGAGACCACTCAGGCTGCGCGCACGGAGAGCAGGGCAGCTGCTGCCCCCGCCCGGGCGCCCGAAGGGACCTGAACCTCACGGCGCAGTGCCCGGCACCGGGACGGGTCCCGAAGCGCTTTGCTGAGCGCCCCCCTACAGCTGCACAAACTGCTGTGGAATAAGCCACCTCGGGTGCAGGCAAAAGGAGGGACGAACCGTTCGAGAAGAAAACTGGACTCAGATGACTCATGAGGGAAGGAAAATCAAGCCAGGCATCATGTCTTACTCCTTCCAGAATTTTCTCAGAAGCATAATTAATATCTTTACTTTGGGAAGGGGGGTGGGGGTGGTGGGAAGAAAAATAAATGAGAGAAAACGGGGAACCCTATAATAGCCCAAATTACTGTTTTTGCTCTTCCAAAAAATGTAGCAGCTAAACTCAGATCTCCCTTAAATATTTCTTTTATAAGCACTTCATTTGGCCACAGAGTTTAAAATATTCACTTATTTGTTGACAATAGTTGCAAAAGAAAAAAAAAGGTAGGGGGACAGGGAGAAAAATAAAAAGGAACGAGGGGAAGCAATGACTGGTTAGGTCTGCTGAGACAACGGTGCCTGGACGTGCGGTTATGGGTCCAGGGCATCGGGAGACATGTTCAGAGACAGACGGTGCTCTGGCGGCTGCCAGCACTGTACTAACCTTCATGTCTTGTTCAGCCTTCAGCGCGGCCTGGGCCTGATTGCCTCTGACTCCAGACAGTGATCCACAAGGACCCCTGGCTACATGTGGCAAACGAGCATGGCTCATGAGGCCTGTGGTCAGCGGAGGAGGCATCTGACTGGCCAGTGCCATTGGCGGCCTCTGAGCGGGCGCTGGGAAGGTGTTAGTATGTGGGGCTCTTACCAATGGAGGGACCAGGTTAGGCTGAGAGAGAATCTGAGTGAAAAAAACAAAACATACAACATTAAACTGTTAAAAAATTTTTGCCACCGAGACCGGCTGGCTCACCCCAGAGTCAATCTGCACCGCTTCCGCCAGCGAAGGGAGAGCCCGGCCGAGCGGCCCCGGCGCCGGGCCGAGCAGCAGCCGTGCTGGCGGGTCTGCGGGAGGCCAGCCCAGCCTGCTGGGCGCTCCAGCCACAGATGCTGAAGGGGGCAGGGGACTGGTCCTCAGGGCAGCTTTTTAAAAAGATTTAGTTGCAGAAAAGGTGTACCCTTATAATTATAATATCCTATTAAAAAAATGCTAATTTGACAAATAGGTGTTTTTTCAGACACCAATTCTAGTTTGTGAACATTCTTATCAATTTTAGTTAGTCCTTCCATCTGATCAGCAAAGGGAAGAGAAGCCAATATTTTTATACATATATCAGATTATCTTTTGGAAAATTTATCTCACCTACACGGCTGTCTTAAAACAACAACAACAACAAAACCCAAAACAAACAAAAATCCCTAGAAAACTTTAAGCGCTGGGACCCTTCTCTGAAAAGTCAACTTATTCAAAAAGATAAAAAGGAGCGGGACTGAAATCAGTGATCAGAGCTGTGTGGGAAACCTTCTCTCTCCTCTGCTCTAGAACTCCATGGCTACCTGTGTCTAGCTAAGAATCGCAGACTCTACTCGGATGTCACAAATTTACTGCTAAGTAAGAAACCGTTTCTCATTAAAAACTGTGCTTCTGGACTGGCTCTAGCAGGGCAAGGCTCCCGAGGGCAGACCCGCAGGTTAGCAAGCACTGGCAGGTAAAGCATGCTCATGTCTCACTGTGTCCGCCCACCTGGGGTGCAAACTGTGCAGGAAATGGCTGTGTCATTCTCACAGTGGCGGGGGCTGACGGGAACTGCTTCTGATAGACAATGCTGCTCATTTTGCTGGGCTGGCTGTTCGGACTTGTGGAAGTGGCCCTTGGAAAGAAGTCGTCACTGGTCAGTACGGCAGTGCCGGGTAAATGATGCTGTTAGATTCGTAGACAGTGCACTTGGTAGACTCATCATACTTGGTGGCTGATGAGAATTTACCAAGGTGAGTTACCAAACATCACAGCAGTGGAGACAGTGGAGGGGCAGAGGTGAGAACGGATACTGGCCACATTAGCCCTGTATTAAAAAGTTTTTCTTAAAATACAGTATAACATATACAGTCTTAGTAATTCAACAACTTACTTAACAGGTCAGACGAATCTGTCAGAATGTCTGTGCTTACCACAGGACTGCAACATAGTGACTCTAACAGACAGACGGTGCTGTTACTGGAAATGCTTAGCAAATGCAAACGCCTGCTTTACCGGAAGGGACTCGAGGTGGGTGTGGTGCTCCTTCCGCTGATGGGAGGGGTGCCCGGTTTCATATCAATGCCACTTCCAAAGGCCTTAAGTTCCATTTCAGACATCTGAGAAAGAGCATAAAATAAACCTAACATTTCTGTAATCCCGTAAATTAATGTGCTGTGGTTAGTATTCTATATATGAATACTTAATCTAGCAAAGGGCAAAAAATCTCAGTATCAAAATCCTATAATTAGTTGTCAAGTACAAGGCCAAATATGTGGCTGAAAAATCTAAGAGGCTTGGTGTAAATCCAATTCTCCCACAAATTTGTGAATTCTTTGTTCTAAGGTAACACAGAGAAGGGGCCAAACACATTAAAAAAAGTATCCTGGGGTTTGAGATTTCCTAGAGGGTGGTAAACTGATGAATTTCATTTTTACAGGGCACACAATGCACCCATCGCCACACGGCCTTAGATTCTCAAAGGACTGCCAGTCTGCACTCACCTTGCCCGTGGTCGCCATCATGCTGTGCTGGGTCCCAGCAGGAAGCAAGCCCCGGAAAGGCTGGCTGACTTGGGCAGGGCGGCTCAGGCTCTGGGCCTGCGCTTGGGGGGCGGTGTGCTGCAGCGGAGGCTGAAGCGTCTGAGGCAGAGCTATCAAAGGCTGCCCCGTGGATCCAAAGTTAGGCAAGGAAAGCTGGGATGCTGGTAAAGGTACTGTGACCTAGGACACAAGCAGACAGAGACTGTAGCAATTTGCTTATACAGAGCCTGTTGTACATATATTCCTGTAAGTGTAACACAGCTCTTCAAATACTTCTGACTAAGACATCAATTTTAAACAAAAGATATCAATATATTAAATACATTTCACATATCAATCTTTTGGTTAGTGACTATCTCCACTCTTTTGTTAAAGATGCAAAAGTATGGCCAGGTGGCTCGGTTGGAGCATCATCCCATACACCGAAAGTTTGAGGCTTCAATTCCCAGTCAGGGTGCATCTGAGAGGCAACCAATCGATGTTTCTCTCTGCCGTCCTCTCTAATATCAATAAACACAGCCTTGGGTGATCATTAAAAAAATAAAATAGCCCTGGCCAGTTTGGCTCAGCGGTTAGAGCGTCGGCCTGCGGTCCGGAGAGACCCGGGTTCGGTTCCTGCTAAGGGCACGTACTTTGGTTGCAGTTTGTCCCCGGCCCTGGTTGGTCGTGCGGGTGGCGGCCACTCGATGTGTCCCTTCACGTCGAGTTTCTCACTCTCTCTCCCTTCCTCTCTCTCCCTCCCACTCTATCTGTACAAAAAAAATGGAAAAATATCCTCGAGTGAGGATAAAAAAAATAAAATAAAATAAAGGTGCAACAGTATAATAAATTGCAGTGGAGAAACTATTTAACTGAAAGAATTATAACAGTCTTTGAGTTCATCTGCAGTACATGCCAAATAACCACAAAACACAGTAAAATCATGGGGATACAATGCAGGAAGGTAGTCACAACTTCCCAAATAGCGATTCATCTCAAATGTCAACACGTAATATAGTTGTGTTGCCGCCCCTAAAACAGCCACCAGAAACAATTATGGGAAAGTGCGTGAAGGCCCGCCTCTCTCACCAGCCCTCCGTCAACTTTGAAAAAGCAAGCTGAATAACGACACTGCTAGGAGATAGCTCTAAAAAAATATTTTCCCACTAAAAATACGATTACAATCACATGTAAGACATGTGTGCCATGACTCCTTCAGTCTCGTGTGTCCCCAGCGTGCGGGTGAAGCACTCGTCACCTGCATGTGCCTGCACACCCCAAACAGCTGTCGGACGTCTACGTTCATGAGGTCCTTTGTTAAAATAAACAATTACAGGGAAACCTGCTAAAAGGAGGAGAACCGACAGAAGTGGGGGTGGGAAGATGGGCACTGCGGGATCTACCAGTGGACCCCATGGAATTCCTAGGGCACCTGAGAAAAGTCTGGAAACTACCACACACCTCCCCTTCTTGGTTTTATTTAAATTCCCAAACAGAAGCAGTAACAGTGACAATAACAGTAAGAATGATGAAGAAAACGGAGGAAATTTACCATGCCATAGTTTACCTGCTGGAGAGCACTCGGTGACTGGGCAGTGTTATAGAAACTTGTCTGACCAGGCTGTTGTACTTGTCCGGAATAAAGATTTGAAGCCTGGGTAAGATTTGCTCTAGCCTAGAAAAAATTCAGTAAGAAAACAGCAATAAGATTTTTAAAATTCACAATTCAGATATCAAGGCTATGGCTTCAGAGCAATCTCTAAGAATTCCAGTATTAGATAAAAAGGAAGACCTTTGTTTTTTCATGTCCTTTAATATCTTTTTCTTTAAAAATTGTCCTTAAATCTGCTGCATAAAAACACAACGACAGTGCATGCTCTCGCCCTGTGTAGTTACCTGGAGGAGATGTGTATCGATCAGCTGGGAGCCTCCTAGTCCTGATGCCTGACCCAGCTGATGTTCATACAATATAGGGATAGGCTGAGTATTGGAAGTTTGTTGAAAGGCAAGACCTGACTGTGCCTTGGCAAGTTCCTGGTGCTGGACAGCTGGGAAATTGTGGATGGCAGTACCAGAGAGGACCACAGAGGGTTGGGACAGGCTGCTCTGCATGAAGGCTGGCTGAGATCTACATCAATATTGGAGAGGAAAAAAGGCTGTGTTAAAAGTTAATTCTTCCTAGAATCTGGTAATCTTAAGAATGACCAGCCCCAATGCCCAAGTACTGTAATTAGCATAAAAAAAGAGCCAGAGCCCTGGCCCATGGACCGAAGGGTCTCAGGTTTGATTCCGGTCAAGAGCACATAGCTGGGTTGCAGGTTCCATCCCTGGCTCCCGTCAGGGTCACGAGGGAGCCAATCAATCAGTGTCTCTCTCACCCACCCCCTTCCACTGCATGTGAAAACCAATGGAGTAACCCTTGGCTGAGGATTAACAGGAACAAGAAGAGCAGAGATCGCAGGCCTCACCTAAGGTGCTTGTTTCGAGGCTTCAGCCCACAACACAATGAAGCCCCACAAGTAAAGGTTCTGGAAAAAAAGCTTTTTGCCGGAAAAACTGGCAAGATTTTTCCCTCTTGAACAAGAAGAATGATTTCATTTTCATGTTTTTACTAGCAAGCTCAGAACCAAACTTACTGTTTTCTCTTTGGTGCTGACATTCCATTTAATTTATAGCACCAATAGCCCTGACTTGTATCATCTGTATTTCATTACTTCCCCTCATACATTTCTTACAAGAGGCCTCAAGACCTCTGTGGAATGAATCAGAGTACTGTTTACATCAGGATTATTCACAAAACATCTTTTTTTTTAACTGAGGTATTACGAATACATAACATTATATTAAACATAATGACCTAGTATTTGCATATATTGCAAAATGATAAACACAGCAAGTCTAGTTAACACCTATCACCATACAGCTACAATTTTTTTTTTTATAAAGAGAGTTTTTTTTTTTTAAATCCTCACCCGAGGACATTTTTCCACCCTTTGTACAGATAGAGTGGGAGGGAGAGAGAGAGAGAGAGAAACATCGATGTGAAAGGGACACATCGAGTGGCCGCCACCCGCACGACCAACCAGGGCCGGGGACAAACTGCAACCGAAGTACGTGCCCTTAGCGGGAACCGAACCTGGGTCTCTCCGGACCGCAGGCCGACGCTCTAACCGCTGAGCCAAACCGGCCAGGGCTGAAGTTTTTAAGACTTACTCTCTTAGCAACTTTAAGATACGCAACATAACATTATGATCAAAGAGTACAAAGCTTCATTATAAGTCATCAGGCTGAATGTACTCAATGGCAACTATATGAAAATTAAAACAAACAAAAAACCACAATGCTGAAATCTGAGGTGGGTGAACACACAATTCAGTGTACAGATGATGTGTTGTACAATTGTACAACTGAAACATGAATAATTTTGTTAACCAGTGTCACCTCAATAAATTCAATAAAAAGGAAAAATAAGTAATTAAATCAAAGTAGTGGATTGAAGATAATATAATAATTTTGCTCTGTTAAACTGACGTGTGGCAGGAACAAAAGCCACCAAGCAGGAGGGCCAGTCTTGAATCCCAAGTAATTTTTTTTTTTTTAAAAAAAGGTATTCTTTTTTTTTCCTTTATTGATTTTAAAGAGAGAGCAAGAGACAGGGAGAGAGCTAAAAACATCTATGAGCCCTGGCTGGCCTGGCTCAGCGGTTAGAGCGTCGGCCTGCGGTCCAGAGAGACCTGGGTTAGGATCCCGCTAAGGGCACGTACCTTGGTTGTGGTTTGTCCCCGGCCCTGGTTGGTCATGCAGGTGGCAGCCACTCAATGTGTCCCTTTCACGTCGATATCTCTCTCTCCCTCCCCCCCCCCCCCACTCTATCTGAACAAAAAATGGAAAAATGTCCTTGGGTGAGGATTAAAAAAATAATAAAAATAAAAACGTTGATGAGAGAGAACATCAACTGGCCACCTCCTGCATGCCCCTACTGGAGATTTGGCCCACAACCTGGGCATGTGCCCTGACCGGAAATCGAACCAGTGACATCTTGGTGCATGAATCAACACTCAACCACTGAGCCACACAGGCTAGGCCCAAGTAATCTTAACAATGTCTACTTGTAATTTATGCTTCAAATATAAAATGGAAAAACATAAGCATAGTGTTATAAGCTGCGCTGGCAAATACTGATTCAGGGATTCCCTATTAACAGCACAGCTGAGGAGCCTAAGAGCAAGGAGTCACAGAATGACGTGGTCGAGATACAAACTGCTCTCGAAGTCTAAACCTGTGTCTTCCAACACGGCAGCCACAACCACATATACAGCTTACACTGTTCCTATTCAATAGGTCTGCCCTGCCAGGCACCTGCGACAATGGGAAGCACAGATCCAGAAGGCTGGGGCATCGCTACTCCATCTCCATGGTGATGGAAGACATCACTAAGCAATCACTGAACTCTGTCAGAGCTGGAAAGTAGCTGCAACTTTTCAACAATGTTTTAAGCAACAATACCAATTAAAAGGAGACTGATGCCAAGTCTAATCTATAGAGTAAAAAAAATTCGATTTGAATCACATCAAAACCCAACACACTTGTAAAAGCAAATGCATAGCTCAGGTCGGTTTTGCTCAGTGGTCAGAGTGTTAGCCTGTGGACCAAAGAGACACGGGTTCAATTCCGGTCAAGAGCATGTACCTCGGTCATGGTTCAGTCCCTGGCCCTGGTTGGGGTCGTGCGAGAAGCAACCAGTCGATGTGTCTCTCTCACATTGATGCTTCTCTCTCTCTCTCTCTCTCCCCCTCTGCCTCCCTCCCTCCCACTCTATCTGTAAATCAATGGAAAAATATCCTCAGGTGAAGATTTTTTAAAAAAGCAAATGCATAACCTGCCCTAAGAAGTAACTTATTTTTTTCTCTTGGAGGGTTGAGAGCCATCACCATGAGTACTGATGACAGCCATGAGGACTGCTATCACCGACCCCTGCCCTACCCGTCCACTCTCATTCAGTAGATGGGACACCTGGGGTTGAGCCCAGCCCTGTCACTCATTCTGTGTCTGGCCCTCTACTACTCTCCCCACCACGCTCCGGCCTGGCCCCGCCCTCACACAGCGGACTTGGGTTTCTAGTTGTTGGCAGCAAAACGGTACTTAACCCTTTGGGTCCGCTGGCAGCTATTTCCTGTGATTTCTAATTGCCACGGGATGGCTGTCACCCTCTCTTCTTCAAGAAGCTTTCAGGCTTCACTGTGGTAAAGTCTGACTGAAATAACCAGAGGTTGAGGTTCACAATCAACATGATTAGTAATTTAATACAGTTTGTGAGAGGGTCATCTTATCTTGGAGAGGGAAGGAAGAAGCAATTCCAATGTTTCCAAACCACAGACGTATTTCAAAGCATTTACCTGTACGGTTGAAGGGAAGAACTGAATAACTCCTGGGCTTGGGAGACAGCGGGTCCAGCAGCCAGACTCAGCTGGGCCTGGTGCTGCCCCTGCAGGGGCGCGTAGATAGGGATCGGGATCTGCTGGACCGACGCGGGCTGCCGGGAGGAGAAGACGGCACGTGAGCACACGGACACGATTCACGGCTTCGGAAAGGATACGAGATTAATGCACGTACCAGCTTCTTTTAAGACAAAACTGAATGTAACCACGTACATTTTCCATTCAATCCATTACTTGATTCTACGTCATTATACCATTAAGATTAGCAAATTTGGGAAAGTTTTAACATTTTGCTTATGCACACATACCTAGGTAATCATGGGTTGTCCATGTTGTGAAAAGATTGTAACTTCAAAGACTGTTATTTGTAGCCCAAAATAACTACTACGCCATACACATGCCAAGCAACTGGCAGGATGGAAGGAGTTGGTGGTGTTACCTGAGAAAGACCTGGTTGGAAGCCTTGCTGCTGAGCCAACGACGGGGGGGCCAACCGTGCATGCTGGGTACTGAATAAGTGACTAGTGTCCATGTAGAAAGCCGGGATCTGAGCTATAGACCGCCAGAAAAGAACAACCAGTCACAAGTGTCTAAATTTCAGAATTTAGCAGACAGGTATATGCAACTTAAAACAATGAAACTCTAATACTTGTGAAGGTACAGAAAAACAAGACACTCTCATATACTGCCAGTGGGGCACAAAACCAGGAAAATTTTGCATATTCTACTAAAACTGATAATGAACCTACCTGTTTAACAGCAAGTCTACTCCAATTTTAAATCTACCAACCAGAATTTAGCAAAATATTTAAAAGAATTGACATTTAATAACTGAAAGAACTTGGTACAGATTTTAAGAAGTATGTTTTATTTTTATAGAAAGAGAGAAAGGGAAAGGGAGAGAGAAACATCAATCACTGCCTCCTGCACACCCCCTACTGGGGATCAAGCCTGAAACCTGGACATGTGCCCTGACTGGGAATTGAACTAGTAACCTTTTGGTGCATGGGATGATGCTCAACCAACTGAGCCACACCAGCCAGAGCTGGTACAGATGAATAGATTTCTTTTCTACGTATTAAACACACTGTTTTGTGACTTGCTGTTTTCATGAGAGTACTTCCCATACTTGTTTTAATTGGCTACCATTACTATAAACAATACTGCAATGAATGAACACTCTCATACACTATCTCTGATAAATAAGTTTATCTGATATTAAATATGGAACTGATACTACCGTATATACACATAAAATATCTTAAGATACCTTTCTAAAATAATTACGCCAATTTACATGCTCACCAGCAAGGTACCTTAAGAGCCCGATATAATACCCATGATCCTTATAGATACTGGGTATTAAAGATACTGGTTATCAATCTTTCTATTTTTTCCCCACATAGAAAAGCAAAAAAAAAAAAAAAAAAAGCCTATTTATTTATTTGAATTTAAATCATTAATGAGTTTGAATATTATTTATATTATTTAAATGTTTATTTACTATTTAATTCAGATTAATATTGTGATATTTAGTAATATAAGTTACCCCCACTTTTCCTTCGTTGTCATTCTCAAGTTTATTCTTCCTCATGAATTTTATTATCAATCTGTCACGTTTCAGATATCAAACTTTTATAATATTATTGAAATAATATCAAATGCTTAAGTCATTTGTGAACTTATTAGACACTAATCTGTCTAAAATGTGTGTAAGGAATAATTACCAAGAGCCCCAGAATGCGTTGTCAAGGAGAGAGAACAGTCAATTCTATCCAGAAATAAATGTGCAAAGCAGGTAAAAAAATTTGAACTTGAAAGGACAAGTAAGAAGGGAGAAAGGAAGCACCCAAAGGCTTCCTGGGCGTCAGGCCCACGGCCTACCTGCTGCAGACTGAGACACGTAGACCTGCGGGCTCTGCTGCTGCTGGGCCATCAGGGAGGGCACACAGCTCAGCTGCGAGAAGTGACTCGCGGAAGGCAGGCTGCTCGTCTGTAACTGCTGGGGCTTCACTTTACAGATGTTAGGAGGGTCCGACGTGGTTGTAGATTTTGTGCTCAGAGAAGAGGTAGTGTAGGTACCAGCTCCTATATTTGGGAGAGAGATAAAATAAGGGAAAAATATAGTTACATTTTAAAGTCACTGTTCACGCCCTGGCCAGTTTGGCTCAGCAGTTGGTGCGTTGGCCTGCAGACCAGAGAGTCCCGGGTTCGGTTCCCGCTAGGGGCATATACCAAATAAATAAGGTCACTGTTCACAGTAAAGTAACTCAAGCACCACCAGAAAAGGGAAAACTAGTGTTTATGCCCACCTTGTATGTAGATGCTGTATGTACTCCAGTCCATATTCAAACTCATTAATGATTTAAATTCAAATAAATGGAGAGATGTGATATATCATTATCATAACTGTCTCTATCCACAGCTCTCCCCTTCTCCAGCCCCCAACCCTGCATATACCTTAGAAAATGAGAGAAACCATTATACAACTTGAAAGATCCATTATTTGTTGATCAGTGAGTTCTAATTACTGCAATACTGAAGCAAATGACCACACTGGTATGATTAAAAAGTAAGAGTAGCAATCATTTCAGACATCTAGAGATGTTCTAGCTAAGAGAGGGCCAGATCAAGGTACCCCTGCTCTTCCATGTGAGTCTCTACCAGCAGAATGACAAGAAGGTCCTCATGAAAAAATGTATCCTAGTTGAGGGACCACGGACAAACTATGGACCTGGAAAAAAGAAAGTACTTGGGTTCCAAAGAAACAACTGGGAAGCTGTGCAGTCCTGTTATTTCCTAATCTCCCTACAGACGCTCCTCCAGTAGACTGGGGCCCAAACTACAGCCAGTAAGCAAAATAAAGATGGCTTGCACATTGGTGGTGAGGAATACTTGCACAGTGAGTGGAAGAAATATAGTTGGAACACTCCCTTTGATTTAAATCTCTGGCTTTGTCTTAATAAATAACAACACAACACACATGTTCTCTCTCTCTTCCCCATTTTTTTTGTGTGGGAGGCAACCCAATTTTTGGTGGCCTTGCTTAGGCTAAAAAAAAAAAACAACAACACATACTTCTGATTCTAGATAGTATCAGAGTAACTATAGCATAACCCAAAGATCAGTTTTTAGTACTTAAAACTAGCAGAGAATGCCAGAATACTGAAAAACAGTATTTCCATCAGTAAATAAGAGCCCATCAAAGAAGGTAAATTCTTTGCTAGATATATTTTCTAACTATCAGAAAAGAATTTCTCACTGCTTTGGAAACATGAGATAATATTGGAAAGCTTGAAATTAAATTTGTTTTCAGTAAAAGAAACATAGTGCCCTGGCCAGTTTGGCTCAAGCGGTTAGAGCGCTGGCCTGCGGACCAATGAGTCATGGGTTCGATTCTGGCCAAAGGCATGTACCTCAGTTGCGGTTCATCCCGGGCCCTGGTCAGGGTCATGCGGAAGGCAACTAGTCGATGTTTCTCTCTCTCTCCCCCTTTCTCTCCCTCCTACTCTGTCTGAAGATAAATTGAAAAATATCCTCAGGTGAGGACTTAAAAATAGTAATTACAAAAATAAATAAATAGCCCCAGCCGGTTTTGCTCAGTGGTTAGAGCGTCGGCCTGCGGTCCAGAGAGAACTGGGTTCGGTTCCCGCTAAGGGCATGTACCTGGATTGCAGTTTGTGCCTGGCCCTGATTGGGTCGTGCGGGTGGCAGTCACTCGATGTGTCCCTTTCACACTGATGTTTCTCTCTCTCTTCCTCTGCTCTATCTGAACAAAAAAATGAAAAAATGTCCTCGGGTGAGGATAAAAAAATAAAATAAAAATAAACAAATAAATAAATAAAAGAAACAGTTATATATATGGTGAGAGGGTGTATTTCCCTAGAGTTTTTAGAGACAGTCCCTGTGACTCTGAGAACTGTAAAGCCCCGAATGATAGGGTTGTACACCAGTGAAAAATTTAAGTAAGGAAGAAAGTCACCTTCTCATTGGGTGCTGATGGACTCTCCTTAACAACAAACAAAACAAAATCTAAAATAACAGTGGATATCATTTACTCAAAAAGAGAGAGCGGAAATTCTCTAACCCTAACTACTCTTCACCAGAAAGTATGCCAACGCAATAGATTTAGGCTAATATCGCCTTCAAATCAAATATAGACTGCAAAAAATTTACAGGCTGTGTGATTCTATGTTATTTCTGAATTGGTTTAATTAGCTGTATATGAGTTAAAAAAATAAAAGGTAGATCGTGTAGAAAAATGTAGAGAAACACAATAAACACTTTCCACCAATCACTTGGAAGCATCTGTAGGGGGTGGCGGGGAGGACGCCCAGCGAAGTGTCTCGGCGCCATCGGGAGTCTGCTGAACTGAAGCTGGGCGAGGGCGGGGCGAGGGGAGGGTGAGAAAGGGAAGACGTCACCCTCATCACGCGCAATCTGACGTCTTTTCTAAAGAATCCTTTGCCGGGGAATAGTAAACGGAAGTGATCCTAAGAAACTTGAACAGGTGGAGATGCGGAAAGGCAGGCACGAAGCCCTCTACCTGACAGCGACGTTGTGGGGGTGACGGAGGCTACGGGGATCTGCGGCATGGCTGCACTGGAGAAGGAGCTGTAGCTCGCGCTGCCCGGCCCGCTGGCACTGCTGCTGACCCCGCTGGCTATGGGAGGGGCGGTGGAAGTGACTGGAGACCCCTTGTCCCGCACATTCGGAGAATTCTCCCAAGCCTTCCGCGCAGACTCCATCTGCAATGAAATGGGAAAAAATTCACTATGCTAACACAGAATACACATATGTACCTAAATATGCAATGTATGTGTATATATACAAATTCCAAATACAATCCTTCAGAAACCACAAAAATAAAAGACAAAGACCCTAGACTCTTCAAACATTTCCTTTCCCCCTTTATCTTTGCGCTGACTTACACTGGGAGGCAGTGGGCTTTAACCATGTCTCCAGAGTGCTGCTACCGTCTCTGCAAACAGGCCAGTGAATATCTATACAGCCCCAGCTCCTGTATCCTCTAGACCAGCCCCTGCCCTGGGCCTCCAGGACTGCTTCAGGCTCTGACCCGGGCAGAAGCCCCCGAGGGCCCCACCAGCGCCCACCCCTCCATCTGTGCTCTAGAGCCAGCAGTTCTCAAATGGCAGGTGGAGGCAGCGCTTCTGGTTCGGCTGTTTTGTGCTCACAGTGATTTAAAGGTGATGGAAGCAGACAGGCTCTAGGCCTGGGCACAGCAGGGACACTTGTACATCAAGGTCTCATCGGGCACTTTAGCCACCGATTGCTGCCCTTCGTACCGGGACTAAGGTTTCAGCTGCAGTCTCCTAGTTTCGTAAACGGCAGAAACCGGTCTTACTCCAATCTATTTTCCCTTTCTCTCGAGCAGTGCGATTCAACAGACATATAAATGCAAGCCACATATATAACTTAAAATTAAGTAGTTTCATTTTATAAATAAAGAGGTTAATACTAATTTTGATTTTCTATTCAACACATTATAGAAGTCTATCATCAACATACAAGTTGAGATGTTTTCATGTTTTAAAACATGAACACTTCAGGCCCAGCGTCCCTCTTGCTCTACACTGAAGCCACACGAACGTGAACCAGCCACACCCTGTGCTTCGCACTCAGGACACGGGGCTGCGGCCGCAGGCGGGGGAGCAGACCAGGTCCGCACTACCCTACGGCTACCTGAACAGGAGCGAGAGGCACACAGGTTCTGAAGGTTTTCGTTCCAGTAGACAAAAGACTGGGTGGGCCAAAAGGAAAACCCAAGATGATGTATAAAATTCAGTTGCAATGACTTACACGAGAGTACTTTTAACAAGAATTGCTCACCATTGTTAGGAAGTTTGTAGGTCCTTCAAGTACCAACTTTTAAAACTTTAACCTTATTTTAATTGTGAGAATTTGAGAAATATTTCATACCTCCCTGCTTTCCTGTTAAAACACTCAATATATGTGATTTAACCTTTTCTTTTAAAAATATTTTAATTGATTTTTTTTAAGAGAGAGGAAGGGAGAGAGATAAGAAACATTGACATGAGAGAGAAAGATTGATTGGCTGTCTCCTGCACAGCATCTCCCACTGGGGACTGAGGCCCCAGCCCTGGCATATGCCCTGACCTAGAGTCGAACCAGGACCTCTCAATCTATGGGACAACACTCACTCCACTGAGCCACAGCGGTCAGGCAATTTAGCCGTTTCTTAATGACTAATGTCATCTCCATAAACTAAAAATATAAAACACTATTGCTCGGCCAGTGTGGCTCAGTGGTTGAGCATTGATCTACATGACCAAGTGGCTGCTGGTTCGATTCCCGGTCAGGGCACATGTCTAGGCTGTGGGCCCATTCCCCAGCGGGAGGCATGCAGAAGGCGGCCAATCGATGTTCTCTCTCACCCATGTCTCTCTCTCCCTTCCTCTCTCTCTCAAATCAATAAAGAAAAATTATATATATGAGAGACACTTTTATGTTTGCTCGAGTCTTCTCACAATCACCTTGCTGGTTTTACATGCATTTTATTTTAAAACAAAACTCTGTGGGTTTTTTTTTCTGGGGGATGGGGTAGAGTGTTAAAAACAACTTAGAAAGTTAGGCCTAATGCAATTTGCTTATATTTTCTGAGATTCTTAGAGCAATTTTATACAAGACGATGTCTTTTATACCAGTATTGTTGTGTTGAAAACACATGAATCATAGCTAATCAAACTTGTATAATATATACATTTGGCTTAATTTCTTTTCTTACACAGCAAAAAAATTTAGATTCTAATTTTGGAAATTCAAGGAAACTAAAAAGTACAATTAGTTAATTATATTTGCTTTTCCCCTTGGCAAATATACTGTCAATAATATCCATATAACAGAACTTTTCTTTTTCTTTTAATCCTCACCCAAGGACATTTTTGCATCTATCTTCAGATAGAGCAGGAGGGAGAGAGGTAGGAAGAGAGAGAGAAACATCGACATGAAAGAGACACATTGAGTGGTCGCCACCCACACGACCCTAACCAGGGCCGGGGACAAACTGCAACTGAGGCACGTGCCCTTAGCGGGAACCAAACCCGGGTCTCTCAGGACCGCAGGCCGACACTCTGACCGCTGAGCCAAACTGGCCAGGGCTAACAGAACTTTTCTATACTTTCTATGTTACCCAAACAGAAAAATGTCAGAAGTAAAAATAAAGACAGTAGAGAAAGTTCTAAATTAATAAAATTTAACTTAATTTCATTTCAATTTTCAATGCATATTACTTCTTGGAGTATTAAACACACTGTGAGCCTGGCCAGTGTGGCTCAATGGTTGATGGTGTGACCCATGCACTAAGAGGTCACCAGTTTGATTCACAGTCAGGGCACAAGCCCAGGTTGTGGGCCAGATACCCAATGGGGGGCATGCAGGAGGTGGTCAATTGATGTTCTCTCTCGTTTGTCTCTTAAAAAAAATCAATAAAGAAAAAAATAAAAAACAAAACATTGAGTGAAAGGCAACGTTGAAGGGTTTTTCTGAAGAATTAAACAACCGGACTAAGAATAATTAATGGCGCAATATTTATTTAAGTGACATTAGACTACTGCCCTGAATGATATAATATATAACATGAAGCAGACTGAGACCATTTTCGTTCAAATGGAAAAGCAATAAGGAGCTGAGTAGGAACTGACAGCAAACAGTAGGAAGTGAGTAAAGACAGGGATGACACAAAGCACAGGTGGTTGTCCTACGAAATTTTATCGTCTCAGCTGGAGACTCAGACAGGAGTCTAAAGTGAACACTGGCCACACGGTCAAACCGACTCGGTTTCCCCTCCTGGAGACCGTCAGAAAGACTCATGGCGACCAGAGCCGCACCAGAGGCCCGGCTCCAACACCAGGTAAAGGGAAACACCTGCCTGTAAAGAAACCCTCCCTGAATCCCAGGGCTGTGCTTTCTTTAATGACCGGCCAATCTTGAGGGGAACTCATTTAACCTACTCTCAAATAACTCAACAAAGCATTAGTGACATAGTTCAAAATTATGAGACAAAAAAACCAAGAAGCCCAAATTTCTTGACATCAAAAAACATGTATGTGTTGTCTAAAATCTTTTGCCCCTTTATTCAAAAATTATCCAACAATCAATTCAAAATCATTTGCATTAATTATCTCTTCATAAAATATTCTAACTACTGCTTTCAATTCACACATGACTTAAAGGGAAGACAGAAAATTAGCATTCTTATCATTATTTGTATTTACGATAAAAAAAACATGCAACACCAAAGTAGTTTTTTAGTATACAATTAATATATCCCAAAATTAAAATCTCTAAGAGGAACTTAGTACAAACACGGAATGTAAACTCTCCTGTAATTTTAAGATCAAATTCACAAGCATAACAGGCCTTACTTGAGAGAGGAGAACAAGTCACTGCTAAGCGGTATTAGAAGCTAATAAAAGTTTAAGGTGTAATTTGACATCGCTTCATTTCCTCAGCTTAGGATTGTTGCTCACTACATGGAACCAGTAAAAACCCATGAGAACAGCGTTAGCTTGCGCCCCCTTGCATGCAATAAGCACGACCTTTAGAGACGGATGTGGTACATACCTTGAAGGTGAGGCTGAAAGTAGTGGGAGGAACTGAAGTTAGGCTGGAGCTCTGTTGTATGGTCTCCCTCTTAGGGAGGGGAAGGGTGTTGGGCAGGGGCACCTGAAAAGGCAGGCAACACACATCACAATCTAACTGACTGGGTCGGCTACCAGAGCCCCACTAAACATAATGCTACCGTACTCGAAGGGTGTTTCATCAGAGCCAACAGAAATATTTGATTACTCAAGAGCTAGAATAGGTTTAGAGTAACTGATAGTTCTAGACATACATCTTAGATAAAATCACTAAAGAGAAATACTCTCTGCCTTTTTCACATGAACTGACAGAGCCTGTCCCAAATATAAGGCATACACACTTGAGGGCAATGCTGCCCATACTGTCACGTGGATACAGATCACCTGGGGCACTGATGCAGACTCGCTCAGCTGGTCTGGAGGAAGGCCTAACATTTTGCATTTCAAACAAGTTCCCAAGTGATGCTGTGGCTGCTGGTCCATGGACCATACACTGTGCAGCAAAGCTTCAAGGAATACAATGTCCACCATTTATGGGGTCCACAGGTTCTATCAGAAGCATGTAACATGATAGTATAAATATAAGACATTAAGAAATTAATCTCTTTCCTGAATCAGTCAACTTTCTGACACCTAGATTCAAGAACAAAAGTAATATTAAGAGGAAAGTGTGGAATACTGATCCCCCCCCCCTTACACTAAACAGAGTGCTTTGCCACAGTAGCAGTAACGACACGATTATGGCATTCGCTGTTGTTATACAGGTGACGGTATTAGAAACTCACTACCCACATCTCTCTTTTCCCTCTAAGTCTCTGGATCTTGAGTTTTTATGATGTGCTATTTACTATATATTGATTTGGATGGTTAACTCAGTTGCTCAGGTACAATGCGATTATTAGAGGTATCAGGTAATCATTCTGTGACACTATGGATTATCTAATGGAGATTCTAATACCACGGACTAATTAATGGAGATCAGCAGTGCTGTAATAATCAAAACCATCACTGGCATTTATATCTTCAGGATATTCAAAACAATTGTAATATTAGGTAACGCTAACCAATAAATATCAACTAAGATCTTTAAAAAAGTATATTAAGCTTACATAAGAGAAATAAGCCTCTTTTAAGTATAATTTTTTTAAAAATAGAAATTCTAGCATAAAATAGAACTCCCAAAAAGACTAATGAAGGAAACAAAACATTTCAAAAGGTCCTAAAATTTTGGACATTGTTTTTAAAACTATATTAACTAAGTTCAAAAGCACCACACTCGACACAAATAAGCAATGCTGTGAAATCACTCCAAACTGATGACTGCTTGAAACGCTCCCTGCCCCAGCCTGATCTTCCTGTCCAAACATACTGTGGATACACTGCTAAAAATCAGACGCAGTCTCTTCACTGATACACGAGACTGGGTCTCTTCCCCTGTGTTGTCTGTGCACAAGTCACATGTTCATTAGCCTCGCATACCACACAGAAACTATTAAAATGCTATGAGTGTTTCCAATGACTTTTAAAGGGGACCAAACCCCAGCTAGTGTGTCTCAGTAGTTGAGTGTCGACCCATGGACCAAGAGGTTGCCAGTTCGATGCCCAGTAAGGGAACACGCCTGGATTGTGAACTCAATCCCCAGTAGGAGCTGTGTAGGAGGCAGCCGATGAGTGTTTCTCTCTCGCTCTCCCTTCTTCTCTCTCTAAAAAATAAAAAGAATAAATGAAAAGTAAAGGAGTCAGAGAATAATGATCTTTCCTTCCTTTTTCATATTTCATAAATTATATTTTTAGAGGGCACTTTGCCAGAAAAGCATTATATACTTCTTAAAAAAGTAACACCTAAAAAATACTCTATATATCTTTTCAGGTGAGAAAAGACACCACAATTAAAGTATAATTTACTGAGCTGTTATTGGTTCAACACCTGATAATCTACATAGTGACATCAGCATGTCATTTGCTAAGAAGTCTTTTTGTCCTACCCAAGTTTTCCATTACTTCCTATAGAAAGTTAAATAAATTTCAACCTTTCTCCAAAAGGTCAGGGGAAACATTCTGGCCCATGAAATGAAGTTTTATAACATCTAGAAGCTGGACAGTTCACATTAATGAGCTCAAGTGCACTCCTATCACAAAGAGAAAATGTGACTGACTCAGCTACATAGTAAGAGCGCTTCAGCTGGACTACAAAGTTGGATTAAAGGGTCCCTAATGCACGACACCTCTGAAATGCTACATACCTGATGCTAGAGGGAACAAGCGAGAGCACAGGAAAGCTCTGTACAAAGACATAATCAAGATTTTAATTCTCAAAATGATAGTTAAAGCCTTGTGTGAGACAGACCTTTAAACGTATCTACAAAGGGTATTTTTTGAAAAGAATATGCCTTCGCTTTTTACAGGAGGCGACATTTAAAACAGAGAGCGGCTGCACGCATGGCTCCCACCGCGCCTCCCACAACAGGGCGCCGAGCGGGGGGCATTCCACTCCAGCCGGCGAGCGGGGCAGTGAGAGACGGACCGTGATGACCGCTAACACAATCCCACATGATAACACGGTTGCTCTGGGAATAAACAGAGAGCCAAATTTACATGATGTATCTATCACTTTTTTTTTAAATCCTCATCCAAGAATACTTTTCTATTTATCTTTAAATAGAGTGGAAGAGAGGAAGAAGGAGAGAGAAGAACATTGATTTGAGAGGGACACATCAACCGGTTGGCTCCTGCACATCCCCGAACAGGGCTGGAGATGAACTACAACGGAGGTAAGTGCCCTTGACTGAAATAAAATCCGCGACTTGGTCCACGGTCCGGCGCTCCAACGCTGAGCCAAACCGGCCAGGGCTTGTTATCACCTTTTAACGAAGCGTTTAAGAGTTGCTGAGGTTCTTACATATATATTATAGGTCAGTTCACAACAGTAATGTTGTTATTAAGGTCCAGTATACTTTTTACATTTAAAAAGGAGATCCTGAACCTCTGGTAACACTGTTTTCATTGAGGGAGCTATCGCCGCATTTTAAAAAGGTTTCATTTAAGAACAAAATTACCAACAAAAGAAAACACTGAATCTGCCGAATGTGATAGCTATGAACAAAACCTCTCACCAAAACCACGTAAACTGGGTCAGTCCTGATGAAACTAAGAATAAGCACCACAAGCCTGGATCTTAAATGGAAAGGGGACAAATTTTGGGGGAAAAACAATTCAGCTTTGACTATTTTTGCTAACCATATTATAGTGCTCCTAAATACAAATTTGCTATGAACTCTTTCCCTGAAAAGAGTTAAATATTGGTCAGAGTTTGTCTTATAACAGCCAGGTTCCTATCCATTCGTGCCATCCCTCTGGTTGATTACTTACATTATTAACCAAAGCATCCTCCATCTTTGCACTGTTGGCAGCCACAGTGTTAGGCAGAGAAGAAGAAGGTGTAGTATAGTCTGTTACAGACTCCTGTAGAGTAATAATTAAAAAAAATACGTTTTCAACTGTATTAATGAGTCATTTTCTAACGACAGCCTGACAGTTGCTGGGGAAGAGAGGAGGAGGGGAAAGACGACCTCAAGACTCCGCTCCCTCACACCTAACAAAGACCAGCAGTGGGAAAAACAGACACGGACCCACTGCTGAAATGATAACATTTCCACTATTCCTGGGGTCCTACACATTAAAAAAAAAAATGCATTGCAGAGTATTAGGAGGTTGCCAACAGTACTAAAGATTTAATTTCTGTGGATTACTAGAGAACTCTTTGTGTGGTTCTCATAATCTATAGCTTCCTTTCAACTATTGATTTTTTTATTCTCTTCAAAACAATGCAAATGAATCAATGTCAACAGCTTAGCTATTACAATTCATTAGATTTTAGGATAAAACTCTTCTTTAAATACGGTAGAACTGAATCCCATGAGCTTTTAAGAGAAAAATACTCAATATGAAAGATTCCATCTACCTTTCTTCTCAATAAATATATGCCCCGGAATGGCAGATATAAATTTGCTATTCCCACAAGTGTTAGTCTCTTTAGGTTACTCAGTGGAACTTGCCTTAATGAGTTTTAAACACACACATCTTTCAACGTGGTCACTAAGCACAAGTCAACTACTTCCTCTGGTGCTCACTCAATGAAACAGTGATCTGTTCCAACCCTGAAGAAGACAGGCTATACTGGAGCTACTCAAGTTTGCCTTATATCCTGACTTCAAAATCGCACTAGTGGGCAAAATAAGGCTTCACTGCAATTTCATTAACAAAAGGAAAAAATAATGCAGAACAACTCTTTCAAAGTCTACAAACTCAAATGAAAAGGACTTTAATCTTGTGCAGACAGTTTTCACTGTCGACAGTGATCCAGAATTAAGAATGACTTTCCATAGAAAGAAATAATTCACTGTAATTTCTTTAGATCACATATGCATACCATGAAGTAAACATCTCTCTAAAAATCACAAACCATGGAGTTTACAGAATTATATGGCTCAAGGAAAAACAAAGATACGGTTGTTGTTTTAGACAACTTGCATCAGTCGAACTGGGACCCTCTGCACGCTACTCACCTTCACATTTGTGGCATATTCCGCAGACGACACCGAGATCATTGTTCCGATCTCAGTCGCCATTTCCGAAGCTGCTTTGGGTTCCTTTGTTGTTGCAGGGTCTGTACTTCTGACTGCAGAAGGGCTTGGTTTCTCTTGTCCTTCTGACTCAGCTTGTTGGGCGTCTTTTACTTTTCTATTTTTTAATGACCGTTCCTTTCCAATAGGACCAGGTTTATGTTCTTTGTTTTCTACTGGACTCAAATCTGGAAGCTAAAGCCAATGTTTATGACAAAAAGGCATCATGATCAGAGGCACTGCATTCATTGAAAACAAAACTCAACTTGCTCTCATGAGTGTTACTGGCTTTGGCACAATGACACCTGCAGTACGAAATGTGTTTACCTTCTGGGCTTTGATGGGGCCCGCCCGTGGCTGTTTCTGGCGTTGCTCTTTAGGTTCAGCTATTTTGTCAGTAGTTTTTTCCGAAAGCACAGGAACAATTTCATTTTCGTTCCCATTTGAAGCTGGAGCACCAAACTGAATTGTATCAATTCCTATTTCAACTCCACTTTCTTGGCCATTCTTCGCTCCCTAGTAAGAAAATATTTGAAAGCTTGCTATCAAAACAGAGTTCAGACTTGACCAGATGAGCTCCGTAGCAGCACACATTTTAAAGTATGACAGAAAGAGGTTTTAAGTGACCTACATCTTAATTGACATTGATTTTGTTTTCAGAGAACTTTCCCTTAGCCACAATGATTCGTGTGTTAGAAAACGACTAAAATGAAAACCAGAACCAGACTTAAGATTTTAAAGTCCTGGCTTTATGAGTTATGGGTGTGACCATGGGTCAATCACAGCCGCAGGTTATTTCATCACTTAAAACAAATGTCTAAAGCAACAAACACAGAAAGATACCACCAGCAAGAAACCAACAGCTAAATGAATGAATGAATGAATGAATGAATGAGAAAAAGATAGTAGTACCAGTGTTGCCTACTTCTAAGTGTGCTTTGAAAATAAAACAGAGCCCTGGTCAGTTTGGCTCAGCAGTTAAGAGCGTCAGCCCATGGACCAGTGAGTCCATGGCCCTGGTCGGGTTGTGTGGGAGCCAGCCAATTGATGTGTCTCTCTCATATGGATGTTTCTCTTTCTCTCTCTCCTTCCCATTCTATCTGATGATAAATAGAAAAATATCCTCAGGTAAGAATTAAAAAAAAGAAGAAGAAAATGTAACAAAAGACACATTTACATAGCACTGTCTGTGTGAGAGGCACTGATCCGGACATGAACGATCTAACTTGCAGGACTTGCACTATAATGGACGGAGAAAACAAACAACTAAAAAGTCAGATGAGTGATGTGCAAAAATTAAAATATGGTTAAGCCACTTTAGATTGGTAGATGGAGAAAAGCCCCAAAAAGGTCACACTGAAAGTTTCCAGCACAGCAAACACCTAGTGGAAAGGTCAAGGATGAACAGGCTAGGACAGCATTGAAGATGAATAAGCAGAAAGCTAGATGACATAAAAGCATGTCATTCAGATTTTTCATATCTGAATATTCACTTTTATTTCTTATTTTTTAAAAAATAGGTTTTAATTGATTTTTTTAGAGAGAAAAAGGGAGAGAGATAGAAACATCGATGTGAGAAACACTGATCAGCTCCCTCCCGCATGTCCCCCACTGGGGACTGAGCCCACAACCCAGGCATGTGCCCTGACTGGGAATCAAACTGCGACCTCTCAGTCCATGGGACGATGCTCAATCCACTGAGTCACACCGGGTGGGCTATAAAGCCTACTTAACAAAGCTAAAAAGTGGTAGGAAAGTCCAGGAATGGTAGGTGCGTTTACATTCTCTGTATCACAAGGACTTTCCTTGAGAAGAGAATTAACAGACGTTAACCTTAATACATCTAGACATGAGGAGCAGCTCACAAATGCAACACACAGCAGCATCAGCACCATTCGGGACATGTTAGAAGGGTCCCCAGTTCTCGGCCCAGACTAAGAAATCAGAAACTCTAGACAAGAGATTCTGATGCATGCTGAAGACTGAGGACCTGTTTTAAGGAAACTCTGCCCCAGTTTCCAAGACGATTAGCAAGTCTATTCCTACCTCTGATGAAGTAGCCGACCCAAACGACGTCAGAGGCTTATTCCAGGCACTGACCGAAGGTGGCTGTGGTGGACTGATGGGCCCTACTGAAGAGAAGCCACAGGAAATGTGAACATTAAAATTAAGAGGGCAATAATCCAATCTATAAACTCTTTAGTAATGGCAACTAGACAATAAAACAATTACTTTTCACACCACACTCAGAGTTTCTTGCACACCAAAGTAAATCAAGTCCTCCAAACACTGTGTATTGCTTTTATCAACATATAAAATATGGCTACTAAACGTATAACACACTTATTTTGGAACCAGAGGTTTTAGGAGAGGAAGTTGAGAAAACATCGCTGTAACTGCTTCCTATTAAGAAAAAGGAGACGGCAAAAAACAAAACAAAACAAACCCCACGGACTACATACACAAAACTGAGCGCGCAGCCCAGTATCCCCGTGCCATCCCCAGCCCTCACTGTGATGCTGCACACTTACATTTCTTAGAGATGTCATTCAGCACCGTCGGTGGGGCCACCTTGTTATCCCATAATTCAGTTGTAAGAGTGCTATGTGACTGTGAGGTCTGGATAGATTTTCCAGTGGCTACATAATCTGTGCCGTTAGGTGTTTGAGCGGACGGTAGTCTAATGGAAGGTGGTGGCTGTTTTGAAGGCTGTGTTGTAGTCTGCAGGGGACTCTGGACTGATTTGTGAGTCTGTCCCTGAGTATGGGCTGGGGCAGTGGGGCCGGGGCCGGGGCCTGTGACTGTGACGAGGGCTGGCGTTGGGACTGGGGCTGGGAGTGCAGCTAGGGTTGGGACTGGGGCTGAACTGGCTGGGGCAGCTGGGGCTGAGCTGGCTGGGGCTGCTAGGGCTGAGCTGGCTGGAGGTGGAGCGGAAGGTGGCGGTAGGGCTGAAGCAAGGATGGGAATGGAGGCTGAGGCAAGGACGGGGACAGAGGCTGGGGTCGAAGCGGAGGCAAGGATCGGGGTTGGAGCTGGAATGGAAGAAGGGGCTGGAGCTGAGGTGGAGGCTGGCGCAGGAGCTGAGGCTGGACTTGGGAGTGGAGTGGACGCTGCCGTTAGTGCTGTGGCTGCAGCTGTGGCTGCGGGTGGAACTGGAACCGAGGGTGAGGGTGAGGCCGGAACTGGGCCTGGAGCCGAGGCTGCGGCTAGGCCTGGGGCTGGTGATGGAGACTGTGCTGGCTGGGTCCCTGTAGCCTGTTTTTTGGCAAATCTTGGAGGAAGCTTAGAAGTCTGACTTCTTCCTTTTTCATTGGCATTCTTTTTGTTCCAGACCTTAAAAAATTGGTAGAAATACTTTTTGTCAGTAACACAGCTAAAAGTTAACAATTCATAAACACAATTTCTAACAAAACTACCTAATACTAATTTAGCCCCTTTACTTTTAAAAATAGGTACTTCACAGAGCAAAAATGTCAAAGCCGCTAAAGAGATTTTAAATGACAAGAAGCCAGGATGTGACTGGGGAGGAAAGACAAACATGCACTCCACATTCGTGAGACACAGTGCCACGATCTCTTTCCCAAACCTCTGAAATTCAAAAAATTAGCACATTTGTAGTAAATTCATCCGGCAGCAAAATCTGATCTGATCTGACAAAAAGCTGCTTATCGACCTAACTCACCTTTGCCACAGAAGCATTCCTCCTGGGGTGCTGTTTGGGTGCTATGCTACATGCACTATATACACCACTATTTCCACCTCCCCACAAATAACAACAATTAATAAATGACCTGAAATCACCTAGCTCCAAAGGTTATATTCAATTTAACACCGTATCACCATCCCGAGTTTTGGTGCCCTGTTCCCGAGTCCTCGCATCTGCCAGAGCTCTGTATCGAGACGGAGTTCTACCTCTTACCCGGTCAGCATTCAGCAGAATGGGTGTTCGTGTCTGACAGAGTAACTTACCATGCCGTGTCTAATCAAGTGAACCAATTTAGATTACAATTCAAACTTTCTAGGCTAAGAATCTGCGATTTAGTAGATTATGACGGTTGTGTTCATTAGGTTTACAAGATAAAGAGTACTCCAGCTCCTGACGGAGGTGGGACAAACAACACTAGTACTGAACAGAAAAGACGTTCAAGTAAAGACGGTCTATGCTAAGCCAAATGGTGATTTTATTCCATTTAAAATGTATCTCAATTCTGGATAAAAACTGTTTTAAGTTGTGAAAAGCGTGTCATTATCAACACTTAACAAATACAGCCTTTGCAGGTAGATAGAAACCTTGAGCGTTTGCTAACATGTTTTGGGCAACAATCTAAATAACTGCAACAAGTTGAAACACAAAACCTGTATGATCTGTTCTTCCTTCTTCCTGCGTTCCTCATCCTGTAAACGTTTCTGTTGTTTTTTGGATACCACTTCAGTAAAGCCATCATCGTTCAAATTTGACTGTGGGTCTTCAACTACTGTTACTTCAGGATGGTCATCAATTATAACAACGCCTATGGGTATGGAAAAAGATTTTTTAAAAAAAAAAAGTTTTTCCAATAATAAGTAGAAATGTTTAATATGTAATGATTAAAAAAAACAAGGCAGCCCAGCTGGTGTGGTTCAGTGGGTGAGCGTCTACCCATGCACCAAGAGGTCACTGGTTCGATTCCCAGTCAGGGCACATGCCCAGATTGTGGACCTGATCCCCAATGGGAGGCATGCAAGAGGCGGCCAATCGATGTTCTCTCTCATCGATTTTTTTTTAATTAATTTATTTTTGTTACAGATGTTTCTCCTTTTCCCCCCACTGACACTCTCCTCCCAATCCCCCTCCCCGCCCTGTCCCTAGCATTGTTGTCTATGTCCATTATCTCTCATTGAAGTTTCTCTCTCTCTAAAAAAAAACCCAATAAAGAAAAAAAAAAAAGACAAGGCAAATATCTAGGTAACTCACAGTGTAACACCATAAGATGTTCATTTATTAGGAAGATATGAAAATACTTCATAAACAAGGTTAAAAATAAATGCCCACAAATAATTGCTTTTCCTTAAGCAATACAGTGGTAATATGATTTTTTAAAAATCAAAACCAGCCTGGCCGGTGTGGCTCAGTGAATTGAGCGTTGTTCTGTGCACCAAGAGGCCACTGGTTCCGTCTCTGGTCAGGGCACATATCCAGATTGTGGGCTTGATCCCCTTTGCGGGGGGAGAAGTAGGAGGAAGCCAACTGGCGGCAGCCCATTGATGTTTCTCTCTCCCTCTCCCTTACTCTCTAAAAAAATCAATAAAAACACATTTAATAGAAATCAAAATTACCCTATTTTCCAGGCAATTCACTTTAACCCCCACCTCTCCCAGCCTGAGATCTATACTGTGCTGTGAAGATCTATCTATACAGTACTTTACCTCATTTGCACGTAAACATTCTAAGAGGTGGTAACTGCTTCTGTTTCTTTTTCAAAGGAAACAGTAAGCTACGAGAGGCCGATTTGCTACACGAGGTTTTATATATATATTGACTGTCCTAAACTGTTTATTAGGTAAGAATTTTACCAACATTGCTTGTATTAGCGGTAACGGAGGAGCTGGGGAGTACTGCGCCTTCTCCAAGCTGCATGGCGAGAACCACCAATAGTGTGGTGGGACTTGTGGCCCTTTCCAAGGCCACGGCTCTGGTGGCCTGCAGATGTCAGCCCTCATGTCTCCCTGTGCTTGTGGACTGGTTTAGTGACCCACTGGGTGTCAGGATTCCTTCTGATAGCTTTACGGAACGGGTCAATGAGGATAACCTCCAAGAATTTGTACCTGGAATCTTCCCCAACCCAGTAAGAATTCAGGACTCTCAAAGCCCCACAGTGGCGTCCAGCTTGCTCCTCCGTAACAGACTGAAGACTTTGCACAAACTTGAGCTGGTTAACACCATGATGGACAGGCTTGCCATAGGTCGCACCCTTAGGGACAGGGCGTTTGCGGCCACCGCAGCGCACACGAATCCGATAGATGACCTAACCTTGCTTGGCCTGGTATCCCAGCCTGCGCACTTTATTGGGCCAGTGGGGCGGGGGGCCCTGCGGAGCACAGAGCTGGCGATACTGCCAGCCGCGCACCCGGAGAAGAAGGTGCATTACGTCGGACTGCTTCTTCCTCACAGCTCCTGGATGCACTTGTAAGCGCCCATCTTGGCTTACCTAACGGCTGCAGCCACTCAGAAAGCTGACCTTAAGACTCTTAATGCCTCTATTTTATGTAGACCACTGTCCACAACGTATAGTAGTGAAAAACAAGTGGCATGGATATGAATACATCATACCTAGCACATGACTCCACTCACTGTCCTAACAATTATTCTGACTTTCTTGTTAAAATAATTATATCCCAGTGAGTATAACAAATATATAATATTAAAAAATTAAAATACTTCAGATATGTAGTACCTAACCCTAGGTTTCCACTACTACTTACCTGGTCTTAACCTAGTAAAGCTCTCCATTTACTGAGTATTCCAATACGTCTCTTCTGAATGAGCCACAGAGCTCGTTTCCATCTAAGTATCTGCTCACAGACATTCCTGAACTCTCTCTTCATACATTTTCTTATTGCTTGTTATCCTCCGCATGTGACATCCTAGCACTCCATGGCTTTCTGGAAGTATCCATAGCAACACTGCCTCCCATCTTTTCATTTCTTTTTAAAATAATTTTCCCCCCTTTATTGATTTTAGAGAGAGAGGAAGGGAGAGGGAGAGACAGAAACATTGATGAGAGAGCACCGACTGGCCGTCTCCTGCATGCCCCCAACTGGGATCGGGCCCACAACCTAGGCATGTATTCTGACCGGGATCTGAACTGGCGACCTCGGTGCATGGGTTGTCGCTCACCGGCCAGACTCATTCATTTTCTATTTACCATATCTTAGATACCAATTCCATCAAGGTCGTAACTCTCTAAAGTTTAACATTTCATTTAAGACATAGCATCATGTACACAGATGTTATTTAGTTCAACTTAAATCAGTTAGTGATTCATATTCAGTTTCTACTGCTACCTTGGAGGTTCAACTCTTTCCTTCTTTGATAACTTCTTTATATATAGCATCCAACTCAGTGCAGCAAACAAATAAATGGAACGTAAGACGTACTTGCATAATTGTTGAGATCAAACTGTGACAGGGCATCGACTTTCTCTTTGGGTTTCTTAGGGCCTGGTTTGGGGTCTTCTCTTTTTTTCCCAGCAGAATCTTTGGAGTTCTTTTGTCCTGTTCCATTAGGTGCTCCTTCCTGATGGTGTGCAGAGCTGCCATTGACGGGGTCCACACCAGCTGTGCCTGCAGACTGGTCATCAAATGGCCTACCAAGTAATAATTTGAGATATTACTACCTCCACACTTGGGGTGGGGGGAACCCAAAAACTCTTTACTAGCAAGTTTAGTCTACAAAGAAATAGCAGCGGGATAAAGGACCCTAACTCAAAAACAAGCCTTAGTGACCTTTGTTGAGTACAACTTCACTAAAACTGAGTTTCCCAATGAAAGAGATGGACTAGCTAAGCTCCCTGGGGTAATTCTTTCCAGCACTTAAATTCTAGAATCCTGAAGGTTCTTATTGTGTGTCTCATGTTATAAATAAACGAGCTAAGCAACACTTTACAGCAGAACATTTGTAATTGTAGCTAGTCCCAAGTAGTCACTACTAGATCGTATCCACAAGAGGGCAGCATATGAAAAAAAACAAACTAGGATGCTTTCTATGTTTATACCATGTCTTTTAAAGTTCAGATTTATACATTAATGTAAGCATATAAAAAAAAATATAAAAATTTACTTTACAAAACAAATGTATTTCTATAGTTTTTGTTGCCTCACGGGTATATTTTATTCTTGTGTTCAGTTTATTAAAAATTTTATAAAAACAGACCATGGAAAATAGGCTTACAATTTCATTTCTATCTTGGCCTCTAGTTATCGCTCAAGATAAAAGCTTACTAAGTGCCTGACACAGCATGCCTTCCAATACCTGAAGAATAAACTCTTGTCTTCTGAACGGGACCCTTACAAAACATCTGTCTTAACTACAAGGAGTAACTGCTGTTTCTGCAGGTTCAATGTTGTTAGCATTTATGTAGCACAAAAGTCTTGCCAAGTAGTTGAAATCTCCACTGTACAAAAATATGCTCAAGACTGCTTTAAGTTTTACTCAAAATTCTATTAGTTCAGGGTATAGTCAATAATTATATTGTTATTATAACTATATATGTTATCCTTTTCTTTTGAACTTTAAAAGGGAAGTTTAAATTCTGTATTCAGCAGATTCTCTAGAAACAGAAATAATTGCATTATCTCCCTGGAACTTTTTCTAAATTATCAGAAAGTAAAAATGTTCACTACTGGATGAAATATTAAGTGCATGCAACTAATCAATACAACCAACCAATATATATTGTCTAGATACATTTCTTAGCAGCTCAGGATGCAAATCTGGGAATCTGGTAAAAAAATTAAAAAGCCACACTGTAATGGTTGCTTCCCATATACACCAGGTATTATGTTGAATGCTTCACAAATATCATGTAGTATCTTCACACATTTTTATAAACACGAATGCTTTCTTCCCAGTTTACTAATGACGAAGCAAAGAGTTTGGGATAGTAAGTCCCGGAGACTAGATTTAAAACTAGGCATGCTGCTCTTTTGTAATTTTTCCTGACATTAAAGAAATCAATAATTTACTATAGCCAACATTTTAATATTTAAATGAATGAATTAAATTTAAGAGAGCTAGAAAATTCTTTTTAAAAAATCCAATGACCTGGTATTTATGTTAGTGGTGACCTTGGTGGTAGGGCAGGACTTTGCTTTCTGGGTTTCTCTCTAGTTGGATCATTTATTGAAGGTTTACAGCTAAAGGGGAAACACAATTTATCCTTACGTTCACATTCACTACCTACAAACCAGGACAGAGTGACACAGTTTATGGTGACCATAACAGTAATTTAGGTCCCAGAGGACCCCTGTGAGCACCACAGTGAATTAGAAACAAAGAAAAGGGTGAGTTACTCATCATTAGTAAGAGTGCTTACCATATGAAGGACACTGTACAGGTGCAACCCTAGGTAGATTTTCCCAAAGCTACAAATTCCTAAGAGGACTCTTCTGGAACACGAGGCAGGCAGAGACGCCTGGGACCGTTAGCCACTCCCCTTCAGCACCTTACACTTGTAGAACAGAGAAGAGAATGTGGGAAGAACAATGTCCTCTACCTAGACTGGCTCCGTTGCACAGTTCAATCAAGAAGTCTCCCTTGAGCCTCTTTGTAGAGGCAAAAGCAATTAAATATGAAACAAAAAACTCACCCTCGCTTCCCACTTTTGGCTGGCGGGCCACTTCTCCTTTCGTTCCGGGGACCCGAGAAGTTCCTTCCGGGTTTTGGGGGGCCACCGTTGCCCCGCCGGTTCTGGCGGTCCACGCCAGGCCTCTGGCTAGAAAAACTTCTCTTTGCTATTTCTCTTTTGGGGGCTGAAACATTCTCTCCGGCCTTCACAATGGCTTGTGCACTCAAATCAGCATTTTTTTTTTCATCTCTCTCCCGCCTCTCATTGAAATCACTGCTCTCCGAGGCCGTCTCCCACTCCTCGTTGGCCTGGTCCGAAGAGTTCTGGTTAGACAGGTCCGGGGTCTTGGTCCCAGACACATCGGCGGCAGCGCCCGCCGGCTCCTGGACCGCGGCACTGACGGCGCCGTTGGCGGGCACTGCCACCTCGCCGGTCTTCGAGGCCGCCTCCCTCTCCCGGAGCCGCCGGAACCGCGGCGGCTTATCTTGCCTGGGCGGTCGGGTAGGCCGCTGCCTTCGGGGCCTCTCTCTAGTCAGGTCGAATTTCCGCTCAAATTTGGGAGGTCGTTTATCAGCCGGTAGAGGAATAAACTGCTCGTGTCTCCTTGGTGGCTCTCCATCCTCTGGTTTCGGCGCTTCCGCCTGCCTCGGGTTCCACTGATTGTCGCGATAGGCAGGTCTCCGCAGGGTGGAAGGACGCGAGGGGCGGCCCCCGGGGTCCCTGCCCCCGCGCCGGAACGTGCCCCCTCTGCCTCGCCTGGTGGGCTCGCCCTTCGGAAGGAAGCCCGGTTTCGCTTTATCCTCCTCCCGTACGTAGGTTTTGTCCGGAGGCCTATTATCCACCCGGACGTGGCTCTCGGGCTTGAAGGGAGAGTGAGGCTTTGCGGGCTTTTTGTTCTCAGGCCGCTCCTCTCTCTTGGGAAGTTTACCTTTGCTCAGACTGTCCCTGTCACTGGCACTCTCGTGCAGCTCGCTGTCCGTGTCCGTCTCGGAACCCCGGCGGCGCCTTCTTTTGGGCAGGACTTCAAAGTCGGAGCTCTCGCTGCGGGTCTCGCTCTCCTCTCGCTGCCGGAGCGGGCCCGCGGGCACGTGCTCGGCGCGCGGCTTCGGGTCCCTGTACTGAGGGTACTCGCGGGCGTGCCCTCTGCCGCCCCGGCCGCGGCCTCCGTACGAGCCTCTGTAGCTGCGGCCTCTGGAGTAATACTCTCCTCGGCCTCGACCCCTGTACCCTTGATCTGGAAACCAATCTCTCTCGCGCGCGTCTTTCCAGTAGGGCCTCGGGGGGAGAGTGGATTCCTTCTTAACTGCTGGTCTTGAATCCGGTCGAGGCCTCTCTGGAACGAGGTCTTTGGCGGGGACTTTCTCAGGCTGCTTTTCTTCTCTGACTGGCAGCGCTGTGACTGCTGGAGCTGCCGGTTTAGCCGCAGGCTCTGCCTCGGCACTACTCACAGGTTCCAGGGGCTTCTCGGCGTCTGCAGGTGGCTTTGGCACCGAAGCCGGGGTCTCTGCTGAAGCAAACTTCTCTGGTTCGGGCTGAGATGGTGGCGGAACGGCCTGTGGCTGAACGGGTGCTGCAGGTGGTGGGGGTGGAGGAAGGGGATCTTTCTTTTCCGTTTTTTCTGGTTTTACAACTTTCTCGGTGACCTTTTCTCCCTTCTCTCCTTCTTTCTCCTTCCTCTGCTCTCGTTCCTCTTTCATATCTCTAAGGACAGGCTTTTTAATGGGACCCGACCTTCTCACAGGCCTGTCGACACCTTCCTCTCTCCTGCTGGAGCTGGGTCTTGGGCCCCAACGAGTTTCTGATTTAGATTTATACAGTTTTTCTGGTTTTGGTCCTTCAGAAGATCGTATAAAGCTATCCTTTTTCGGTTTGTCCTCTGACCTTTCTGCCAATTCTTTGGAATCAATGCATCTGCTGACTACTTTAGGAATGCTTGCAGGTGGCTCATTCCTTTGCTCTTCTGGCTTTTGAGTATGGTTAGAGCCATGGGACACACTTCTTTTCCGGGCAGGCTGACTTTCTACGGCCGAAGTCCGCTCTTCTTGAGGGGTGGACACAGTCTTTTGCTCAGGTGCATCGAAACGAGCAGACTGACCGTCTGTGTCAGGGTGGTGAGTTCCACTGTCTTCCACAGACCTGCTCAGAAACTTCTGCGCTTCCGTCTCGCTGGATTCCCGAGGGAAGTCTGCCTGTGGGCGCGCCTCCAACGGGCTTTCTACCGGATACGCGGCGGGGAGCGGCTCCGGGTCCCGCGTGGCTTCAGCCCTGAAATAATGAGAATTCAAGGGCATGACCATCGAGGCAAACCGTCTCACATGTAAGCGCACAGTGAAATGATCCCTGATTTAAAAACAATGGGTCCTAACCATAAAGAGCATCTTCATGTCTACAAGGGTTAGCACAGCATTGTTCAAAATAGCCAAGAGTAAAAACAACTTAAATGTCTCTGACGGATGAATAAGTTAATATACTATATATGTATAATGGAATGTTACACATAAAAAAAAAAAAAAAAAAAAAAAGAGCAAGAAAATCCTGTTATAAACTACCACATGGATGAGGACATTATGCTAAGTGAAAAAAATCAGTCACATAGACAAACACTGCATCATCCCACTTATATGAGGTTTATAGTGTAAAACTCATATGAGCAGAAAGCAGAATGGTAAGTGCCAGAGACGAAGGGAGGGGAACGAGGAGTCACCACTAAGTGGGCGCACATTGCAGCTGTGCAAGAGGAGTAAGTTCTAGAGACCTGCCCTGCTGTGCAGCACTGTGCCCAGGTAACAGCCCTGTACTGCACGCCTAAAACTGTTACGAGATTATGTACCCTCCACAAGTAAAAACCTAAAAGTTCATTTCTTTCAAAACTGCATGCTGATGTGACTTTTTAGTCCATCAAGACTAATAATTTCCACCCATAATCAGACTACCTTGAGTAGATCTCTTTCCCAAAGCATCAGAATTATAAAACATCATAATACATAAAGAGCAAAAATTCTAAATTTATGGGTATAAATTAATACAGAACATCAACTATTTGCTACTTCGAAGTTTCTCTGTATCAGATTATCTTAGAAAATGTCCACAACATAGTGATAATTGAATGTTTGCCATTTTTCATCAGTGGAAGAATTACATCAACACTTTAGCCAGAAAATATGTCAAGTACCTCATCAATGGCAGAAACATGTCATTTTTAAACTACCACTAACCCTTGGCACCTGTTTCAGTGTACGGAACTAGTTCATCAGTACAAAAATGCTGCAGAGAGAATGTCCACAACTGAAACACACACATGAAACGGGAGGATATCAGGTTTGTGGTTCAGTCCTGACTCACAGTGACCTTCAGGGACACTGAACAGTCTTCACTTCACCACAAAAATCTACTGGGTTTATGAACAGTCTGAATTACCTCACACCCTCAGGTTCTTCTGCTGTCTTGGGAGCAGTAGCCTGCTGAGGCTCCGAGTGAGGATAGGGCTCTGACCCCCACATTATACGAGGCTCAGAGAGGGAAACTGCATGATCTCTTGCAGATCGAGCTATATGTTCAAATGACTCAGAACTGCTGGCTGACCCTTCCATCTGGTCTCTTCTCATCAAAGGCTTAGGAGGAATCATTCCTGCAGAAAAAGGTCAGAAAAAAATGAAAGGTGATTGAAGGAAGAAGAAACAAAATCATTAGAGACACAGAATCTAGGTTATTAATTGCTATTTGGTATTCTTTATATTCTTAAGCTAAACAAATACTTTTTTCCAAGTAAAACTGATTAATTCAACAAATGATCATTGACATGAAATTGAAATTGTAAGGTTTTCCACGAATGAGATTTTTATTGTTGCTGATAAATAAACAGATTTAAAAACTGGGGAAGCAAATCAAGCAAAACCACAATAGCAGTCTGTTTTACTTTATTGGGAAGGAAAGATAATCCGGTGACAAGCATTATAGCCCTATGCATGTTAATACAAACATTATGAGAATTATACCAAAAATGAAATGTTCAGACAAAATATTTCCAACAGAAAATCCTATTAACCGACTACTTTAATTAGTTAATCAATATGCTATAAAGTATGCCTTTAAAAATTTTAAACTTGAAAATCACTACAGGATTCCTGACTATGTTTTTATTGCTTGTAAATTTTCTTCAATATCATTTTGATAATGGGCTGTCTGGATTTATTCCAATAGATTCCATAAAAGACAGCTAATTCGCCATTTGTTTTTAGCTAAATTATGAAGAAAACAAGTGTTAGGCTGGTAAATGTTAGAGAAAATTGATAAGCTGGGATATATAACGTGGAAAAATTCAAATGCTACAACAAAAGAATGGAACAATGTAGCAAATAATCTGGTTAATAAGACAGTAATTTTCCATCTTAAAATTTACAAAACAGAAAATAACTAGTAATTTGGTCTTACCACAGTGCCTGGCATTTAACTATTCTGTGCTGAAAGAAAGTTACATAGTTTTAGGATTAAAAATCAACCCTTTTAAATTCTTACCAGATTATAACTCCCGCAGAAATTAAGACTGAAAATGGAAGAAAAACGAAAAACTTCGATCTTGCATAACTGCACGCGAGCCGTGCCACACCGTGGATTCCAACTCACCAGGATGAATGGGAGGAATGTCCATAGCAGGTCTTCCTGACATCATTCGCGGGTCCATGTACGACTGCATCATCAGCCACCGCGGATCGAAGCCCATGGAGGCCAAGTGCTGAGGGTGGGGCTGCATGGGCTGGTACAGAGGGCGGTGTGGCGGCGGAGGGACGGCAGTCCCGGACGGCTGCGAGGGGACGGACGGCGGAAGGACTCCCTGCTGCTGCTGCTGCCACTGCTGCTGCTTCATCTGCTCCTGGAAAGCAGAGCCCACAGCATGAGAGTCTAGCTCCACGTGGTACACGAACAGGACCAATCACATCAGAAACAACAGGCTTTTTTGAATCCTTCAGGGAGAGAATTAAAAAACATTTAACAGTGACAGGTGGTAAGACAAAAGAAAAAGAATAAGTTATGGGATCTTGTCATACGCAACTCATCATTCGTTAATTCTGCAGAAACCATTCCCTAGAAAGGGGGGTGGTGTCTGCAAGGAGGCAGAGGGGAAAAGAACGACAGAAGTTCAAGGTAAAACTCCCATCAACAAACTTTTCTTAAAATGGAAAAGAATATCAGGAAAAACCGTGTGCTTTGTGTACTGTATGTTTTACATCAAATTACTTCAGAGGACTGAACAACACGCCTTTTCAACTGTACACGATCAATTACCTGCTGCCGCTGGAATCGCGGTGGCAGAGACTTCTGGAACTGTTTGAAATAACCAGACAGAACAGCAGGCCGGGGCTGAGCGCCCGAGTCCGGCTCTGCTTCGTGCGTCGCCTGGGTGGTCTCTTTTTCACTGCGGCTGCTGTCTTGTCGAGTGAAAACTGGGTCATCCTCTGCCCAAAGAAAAGATAAAAGATAATGATATTTATCTATAAAACTCACCAAATACATGCTGTTTGTGCTGAAGTTAAATTATTAGACACATAAAAAAAGGTGAGGTGAAATCATCCTCAATACTCCAAAACAGTTTTTTATTCTAATATTGGTAGCCATTAATGAGGTAACATTAGATGAACAAAACCTCTGATTTCTTTAAATGCAGGTTCTTACTGATACTAAGATCATAGGTCCAAAGCTTCACCATACAAAAATCTGTACGGTTTTCTGAGATACTAGTAAAACATTTCAAATATTATCTTCTATGGCTAAATAAATATTAATGTTACTGTCAATATTTACTCGGGGTTCACAAGTACTTATGTGAAAACACAAATGGTCTATACATACTTAAAATAGAACACATTGGTTTATTTGATATTTGTTTTTGATCAAGGGACTATTATATATAAAGAAAACTAACGAATCTAAGTCTGATGACAACATTGTGATCATTGGCTATCTTCAAACATATAAATCATTGTTCTATGTAAAGGGATTACACAAAAAGAACCATACACATACCAAAAAAAAAAGTTTTCATCCCAAAGAAAACCAGAGTCATATTCGTTCTAGAGAATGGGTATAAACTCAAAAGGAAGAAAAGCAGGATTTCAGAGAGATTTCTGCACACTCACATTCTCAGCAGCATTGTACAGAATCGTTTCTGGAAGTGGAAACGATTCAAGTGCTAACAGCAGAGGATAAGCAGAATGCGATACACAGAGACAAGAGACTGCCAGTCTTGGAAAGAAGGAAATTCTAGTAGTATGCTACAGTATGGATTAACTTGAGGACATTATGTTAAGTGAAATGAGCCAGTCATGAAGAGACAAATGCTGTATGATTGCACTTATCTGAGGCACTTAGAATAGCCAGTGTCATAGAGACAGAAAGCAGAATGGTTGCCAGGGGTTGGGGAGAGAGGGAATAGGGAGCTATTGTTCACTGGGCATAGAGTTTCAGTTTTGAAAGATGAAAAGAGTTTGGGAGACTGATGGTGGGGATGGCTGACAACATGATGAATGTATTAATACTACTAAACTGTCCACCTAAAATGGTTAAGATGCTAAATTTTATGTCACAAGTATTTTACTACGAGAAAAAAATATATATTAATATAGCCAATAAAAGATTATTTCTATCTAAAAACAACAAAAACCCACAATCCTTTTTAAGATTATAACTAAAATTCTGTTTTAGATTTTTACATGTAGGTTATGCATACTAAAACACACAAACATCAGCACCGAGTAATGTAAGCGTCTGCGAAGCGTATGTAAGAACAGAACGAGCATACCTTTATTACAGCTGTTCTCACTTTCTTGTTTATCCACCACGGGCTCTGACGCAGGTTCTTTGTGATCCACTTGTTCCTCTACTTTCTCCCTTTCTTTCTTCTCCAACTCCCGTTCCTTTTCCTGCTCTTTCGTCTTCTGCCGTTCTAGTTCTTTCTCCCTTTCCTGCTGCCGTTCCAGTTCTTTCTCCTTCTCTTGCTTTCTTTCCTTCTCCATCTCTCTCTGTTTTTCCTGCTCTCTCTCCAGCTCTCTCTCCTTCTCCTGCTGCCTCTCCCGCTCCCGCTCCTGCTCTCTGTCAAGCTCTTTCTCCCGCTCCCGCTCCCTGGTGTCCCCCGCAGACGGCTGCTTGTCCACGATGCCCAGCTTCTCGTCTAACCGCTTCAGCTTTTCGGCGCAGGCCGCCTTCCGCTGCTCCTCCATCCTGCGCTCCTCCTCCTCGCGCCGCCTGCGGGCGCGCTCCACCGCCGCGGAGAGCTCGGGCTGCTGCCGCCGCCTCTGCTTCCACACTGCGTCCTCGTCTGCCGCCTGCTGCCTGGGGGGCGAAGGGCCTGGCCTCCCAGGGGCTGCCTGTCGGTCCGGAGGGAGATGCTGGACAGAGAAAGGATCACATGAGATGGCAAATGATTTCAGACAATGGATCATAGGCATGAAGAGGGAAGAAAAAACTCCTCCAACTATCAGAAATGTCTTGATAAACATACACATGAAAATGCAAACAAGTAACAGCATGGGGAAAACATTAAACCTAGATGAATGCCCCAAACTAAGACTAGAATTACTCCGACCATCTAATACTTCCTGAGTGTGCACCTACGTATTCCGCTCAGTATTTGCTGCATACAATTAGCAGCTGTCACAACATGACTTTCGCTTCTCAATCCAGAGAAGGGACAGTGGCACGGGAGTGCTTCAGCAGCGACGCCAGCGGCGCATGTCAGAGAGGGAGGCAAGTCCAGGAAGATGCAGGGTGGCACCAGGGGAGCCCCAAGAAGCCGGAAACGGAACGGGCAGGCAGACCCCGCCGCCGACTCTGCAGGCGTCCCCAGAAATCGGCCGTGGGAGAGGGCCAGCTCCAACCGAGGGAAGCGGGGCCCACCGAGAGCCGGAAGTGGGACAAGGGAGGAGGATAACCCGAGCGACCGTTTTCATGATTTCATTTTCAGTTAATGTGTTCTAAAACAAGTACTGCAGGGTCTAAAATCACTGCCAGCAACTATGTATTGACAAGCAGAATAAAAAGGGTTGAAACAAGAAGGAAATGAAAAAAATTTTTTTGTTTTAAAAATACTGATTTTAATGGCTACTAGGGTGAAGAAACCTTAAAAGCCACATTCCTAGTCAGAACCCTACAAAACAACGTCATGATGGAAACACTGAGCGGAGTATGAGAAGACCGGAGGCTAGGCTGCAATCTACTAACAGTGCTGTCTCAGGCAAACCCTCCGCCTCTCTGGTGCTCGGCTCACTTCATCTACAGTTCAAAGACGAGCTGCAAAAACAGAGCAATTATGAAAGCATCTCATTTGCACAGTGAACTCAGACAAAGCATTTTTAAAAAGCAACTTCACTGAAGTGTAATTTACATAAGATGGGATGCCCACACTTTAATGCACAGCTTGGTGAGTTCGGACAAATGATGCACATGACCACTATGACCCCAATCGAGAGATGGAGCATCCTCATCACTCCTCTGCCCGCGCCCTGCCCCCACCAACCGCCTAACATGCTGGCAGTAGAGGGCAGCTGGCCTTTCCTAGAATTTCAAGTCATATCCTCTGTTGTGTCTAGCTTCCTGTGCTCAGGGAAACAGTTTGAGGTCACTGTGTGTATCAGTAGTCTGCTCCACTCCAATGCTAGGTTGTATTCCCTCATAGGTGCACCATTTCATCTGGACATGGCCACGTGGGATGCTTCTACCTTTTATAAGCAATGAATTCATGCCTAAGTCTTTGTGTAAATGTACAATGTATGTTTTCATTTTTTCAGATACATATCTAGGAATAGAACTGCTGAGTCATATGGTAAATATATGTTTCACTTCACTGGAAACTGCCAAAAACCACTTATAATCCAAAGTGATTATAAGGTTGTTTTCACAGCCTCACCAGTAATGTAGGAGGTGCCGGCTGCTCTAACCCTCACCAACATTTGGTGTCTTCAGCCTTTTTAATCTGAGATGTGCTGTGGTTTTAATGTGCATTTTCCTAGCAACTAAAAACACTGAGCATGTTTTTATGTGCTCACTGGCCATTTGTTTACCTTATTTTGTGAAGTATGTTCAAATCATTTTCTTGGGCTATTCGTCTGATTATCAGGATTTTTGTTTGTTTTTAAATACAAGTCCTTTGTCAGATGTGTTAGTAATGTTCTCTGTGTTTGTGTGACAAATCTTTTCACTGTGCTAAGAGATGCTTTCAGGTTATCTTGGACAGCCTCTAAAGTGGAGATATCTGATCAAAGAACGTGCTAATAGGACAGATATCAGGAAAAGAGCCTTTTAATCAGGAAACAGCAAATAACATGTCTTGAGGGTGATATAAGAAACAGCAGCAAAAAGTTTTGTGTGGCGAGAACAGAGAGAAAATAGATGAAATCAGAAGAGCAGACAGAGACCGCAAAGGGCAGAAAGTGAGCAGGGAATGCCTGGCCCAACACAGAGTTTAAAAGACTGTACCTACTACACAGAACCCGAGACGGAGGTGCTGGATGAGCAGGCAGCAGGAGAAAAAGCAAGTGGACCTGTTACCCCACTGCGATTGTTCAAATAAAATCACACAGGTGGCAGTAAGTAGCCAGTGTAGGAATATATTCTGAAGGCAGAGGAGACCTAATTTGCTGATAGATTAGGCTGGGTGCAAGGTAAAAGAGTTAAGAAAATGATTTCTAGATTTTAACCGAAGCAAATGGGTGAATAATGCTATCACCTAAGATGGAGAAGACTGGGGAAGAAGCAGGACAGTGTACGTGTGGGCTGGAGGTGGCTAGGACCCCGTGGATACAGAATCAACTGGATGTACTGTTCTACGCCATCTTACACTGGGCACTCGAACATCTGTGCCCTTTGGTGTCTGCCAGGGGTCCTGGAACCAACCCCCACGGATACAGAAGGACAACCATAGTCAAGTCTTGTGGGGTCCAAGGTTAAACCTGGATTTTTGACTACCTGAAGGGGTTGGTGACCCTAACACCAGCATTGTTCAGGGTTAACTGCAGCTAGAAAAAGGGAATGAGAACACGGCCCTGAGCCTTCCAACACCCACAGTTCAGTACAGGAGGCTCAGAAGGCCCAGGAGGCCCAGGAGGCATACAAATTGAACGGAAGAAAATAATATGATGTCTCCAAAGCAAGTATAAAACGGTTCTAAGAAGAATGGAGAGATTAACTATGTCAACTGCTGCTGAGATTAAGTAAAATGAAGACAAGAGGAGTGGATTTGGTAAGATGAAAGTCATTACTGACAATGATAATAAATTTCAAAGGTACAGTGGGAGATGCTATTGGGAGAGAAAGTGAAGACAGTAAGTGTAAATAGTTCACTGGAAACGATTTTGCCATGAAGGTGAGCAGAGAAACAGAATAGAAACTGAAGGGGATGGAGGGTGGTGCGAGCTGGAAGAGGGCTGGTACAACGGATGTTTTAATTTGGGAGAAAATATTCTAGCAAGCGACAGAAGATGGGACCCAGGGAACAAGGAGAAGAGGTGTCTTTAGTAGTAATAAGGACAAGGAAGAAGTCAGACAGGAGGGCACGGCACTCGGATGGGAGAAGTCGGCGCTCCTTGTTTTCCTAGTGAAATGAGGAGTCTGCTCACCAGCTGAGAATGAAGAGGGAAAGGATGAAGGGGAAGATGTGCAGGAGCTCAAAGTAAAGAAAGTCCATGATAGTGTCCTAAGTTATATATATATATATTTTTTATTTTTTTATTTTTTTTTGTCCTCACCCGAGGATATTTTTTGATATTTTGTTCAGATAGAGGGGGAGGGAGGGAGAGAGAGAGAAACATCGACGTGAAAGGGACACATCGAGTGGCTGCCACCCACAAGACCCAACCAGGGCCGGGGACAAACTGCAACCGAGGTACGTGCCCTTAGCAGGAATCGAACCTGGGTCTCTCCGGACCGCAGGCCGACGCTCTAACCGCTGAGCCAAACTGGCCAGGGCCTAAGTTATAAATAAAACACATACACAGAATCTTTCCATGAAAACAAAATCAAAACCAAAGGCCATAAACCAGAATGTGGATAGAACTTACCTGCTGTGCAAGCAACTTTGGAGGTGGCGGCAGGTGAGCAGAAGGGCCACGTTCCTGGGAATTGTTATAAATAATCAGATAAAAGGTATCTACTGATAATGTTTCTGAATGTGATTCCTCCCCCCAGTAATCACACAGGATTCCAAATAGGAAACCATCATTGTCCTTTTCTCGTTTTTAATAAAAATACCATTTCACTGCAAGATAACTTTACATTCTGCAGACTTACTCTGCTATTTCAATAGAGTCAGGATCGCAAATCAACTTTTCAAAAAGTAGAATTTTAGTGTATATGTTCTGGAATTCTAGCCCAGGTAATTAGGCTGCTGAGAAATATGCCTCCAGTTTAAAATTTTTATTTAAGCAAACCCAGTATTTTTTCTGGCTTTTCTAATGGCAAACTAAAACTGAGATTTACCTAAAGAAAAAAATCTAAAACGTGTTGAAACCAGATATAATATATGGAATATTCACTTGCTAATATATAAATCAGTGTCACAAACACAAAAAAATTTCAGACATCAAAAAATATGGTCTACAATATTCCTCTATTCTTTCACAGAGGAAGTATCACTCCCCATTATGCCAGCAGATTAAAAGTCACACAAAAACATGGATTTTATATTTTTAAGAAAACTTGGAAAATCCTCTTTCAGAGTTTCCAGATTTCTTCTCTAATGGCTAACCAAGGCCTCAGGAACAAATCTAAACCCTGTATACAGCATATGAAACGAACAACAGGTTCCTACCTAGCTCTCCCTCCTGCTCCCACTGCCTGGCTCGCTCTCTTCCCCGTGCTGACCGGCTAATTCCTGCAGGAGTACCAGGTCTCCTGCGAAAGCTTTCCCACAGCCTTGCCTGAGAATTCTCCACGGCGCTCTGTACCCAGCACTTATGCCGGTGTGCTGTCCCTGAGGTCTGCTGCCTTTCTTCTCCTCTTAGAGACTGTTACCCACTTTTCCCTCTGAAGAAATGGGTTCCTCCATCTGTCTGAATGACTTCAACTAGTAAGTGCTGAACGTACCAGGAGTTGAGTGGACTCTCTGGAAGGAAGCCCTTTTTTTATTCCCAGTTGTCAATGCAATGCGTGCTGCATATCACAAGTAGGACCCATTGTATCTGTTGCCCACATACTTACTTCCCTTCCTCAACAATGTTCTTCAACATGGCTGAGTTAAGACATGTCTCTAGTCCCTGTGTGTGATCTCCCTACTCAGATAGGGTACGACTTCACAGATGACTACCGACTAGGATGTAAATTATAAAGTATACCATAAAGCACTTTAGCAATACCAGTTTGGCAAAATAATTTATCCCTCCACTTTGATGTGAGCTGTTATAAGGAAAAAATTTTAAGTTTAGTTTCTACTTGCTAATTGTAGGTACTGTATTAACCATTCGTTATATGCAATAAAATTATGGTTTAGATCCAGAGCTATTAAAAAAAAAAAAGGTATAGTTTCCCTTTCCTAAGTCTTCATCCAACTCTGATTATAAGGTTAATTCATACATATCTGTAATGACATATATCTCCTTGAGTCCCACAAACCTGATTAAATGATGATCCTTTCCCATAAGGACCTTTTGCTACAGATGGCTGGGCAGGTGTCTGAGATGATGGTTTAGTGTTGCACACCTCATCTGCTTCTTTTCGAGCTTCAGTGTTCTCAGAGACTTTTGAACTTTGATCCTCACTGAAGAATCAAAACCCAGGTGGAATAAAAAAGCAAAATGGACAGACTTTACTGTTAAGAAAATGCATTTTCTTTATGTAAGAGACGTTATTTCCATATGATTTCAAGGGGAAAAAAATCTATCAAGGAATGAGATGGTTTTGTGATGCAGTGGTGCTAACTGGTTTATTAAGTAAGTACATACTATATATCTACAATGATGGGGACTGGGCTTGGCCAAGTTATCACAAGATATAAAGTACAGTGTTGTTAAATATAGATGATCACACCGACACAACTTGGCAAAGGAACAGAATCCTATCATTTTCTATCACCTTCACTCAAAGTCTGATATGAATGCAACTCAGTAATATTACAGGTAATAATCAAAAACAAATTACAGGCTTCTCACAATTGATTATACAACAGCAGAGTATTACAATGCCATGGTTGAAAAACTACAGCAACATGTGCATGCAAGCTCCTGTGTATTTTAATAGCCCAACGGCTATGCCACAAAACTCACATATTCCTTACTCTGATGTCCCTGTATTCCACTAGAAAAGAAAAAGCTCCCATTTTCTAAGACAGTGCATGCTAAGCTTAAAAAAAAATCAAAGACTTAAAGCAGCTGCAGTAACCCAAGTAATTTTTCTCCAATTTTGTAAATATAAATCAGGTCAAGCTAGTACCAAGTGTTTTTTTCCTTTATTGATTTGAGAGAGAAAGAAAGAGGAAGGGAGAAGGATAGAAAGATAGAAACATTGATGAGAGAGAACATCGACTGGCCACCGCCTGCATGCCCACACTGGGGATCGGGCCCACAACCTGGGAATGTGCCCTGACCAGAAATTGAACCATAGACCTCTTGGTACATGGGTCGACGCTCAACCACTAAGCCACACCGGCCAGGCAAAAGTAACAAGTTTTAAATGGTCCTTGATATTGTCTCTAAAAACATCTTCAATTAAATGGCAAGCATCTGAACATCTTTGTTAAAATATATGCCTTCTTTACAAACATCAAACTTTAATTCCTTGACTAGCTGTACTTTTTAAATTTGGCTCATTAATCATATTCCCAACCAAGAACAGTCCTTGAGTAGCCCTGGCCGGTTTGGCTCAGTGGTTAAAGTGTCGGCCTGCGGACCAGTGACTCACAGGTTCAATTCCGGTCAAGGGCATGTACCCTGATTGTAGTTGGTCCCCGGCCCTGGTCAGGGTCATGCAGGAGACAACCAGACAATGTGCCCCTTTCACGCCGCTGTTTCTCTCCCTCTCTCCCACACTATCTGAAGACAAACAGAAAAATATCCTCAGGTGAGGATTAAAAAAAAAAGTCCTTGGAGTAGAATGTAGAAATTCCATAAATATGGAACAAATGCCTATTAATGAAGCCTCTCTGATTAAGTGGGTCATATCATGTCAACAAACTCATACTATTAATCGTAAAGTGTATCACAACAACTTACCTGCTATTGTCTTTAGGACTACTACTTCCTTGCTCATCATCATCACTGAAATTCAGCTGTTCTGTATAATCTACTTCCATCTGGGCACCTATAAAAATTAAGAAAAACGTAAGAACTGTTTAAGAGAATAAAAATTTTTTAAATAATTAGTTAGTATTGACCCTTACCTGCCCAACCTTCATCAGCTTCGGCATCCAGATTATCAAATTTATCCAGCTCCTTCAGTTCCGATGCACTAAGGATGGAGGGGCGTTCAGGCTCCGAAGCCCACGAAGGAGGTGGGCCTCTTCCTCGAAGGCCTCTAATAAATGACAGGTCATCAGGGGAGAGGACGTAAAGTTTCAATAATATTAACTTTTAAAAGATTGGAATTTATTTCAATTCAATGATTTCTACACGATATACAACATATTTTGCACAATACATAATTCTTATGCAAGTATTTAATAGCTGACAAAGGTTTTTACTTGTCTAAGATTTAAAATAAAACAAATAAATGCTAAAGGATAATATGGCTAAGGCCAATACTAATCTGAAAATAAAGAACTTCAAGAAAAACCATCATGCCTGGCCGGTGTGGCTCAGTGGTCGAGCCTCAACCCATACACCAAAAGGTGGCTGGTTCAGTCAGGGCACATGCTTGGATTTCAGGCTCCCTCAGCAAGGGGCATGCAGGAAGCAGCCGACTGATGCTTCTATCTCTCTCTCCCTCCCTCTTTCTCTAAAATCAATAAAAAATTAGAACAAACAATATTCAGGAGGATGCTCAAGCATTAAGCAGAAAAAAAGAGAATGGCCCTGTCTAGGTGGCTCAGTTGGTTGGAGTGTTGTCCCGTACACCAAAAGATTACAGGTCTGATTCCTGGTTCGGGCATGTATGGGAAGCAATCAATCAATGCCTACCCCCCAACCCCCAATCAATAAACATATACTTGGGTGAGGATTAAAGAGAGAGAAAGAATGAATAGGGAGTCTTTAACATTATAGAAGGAGGAAGGGATAAACAAGTTTCATCAGTTTTTAGGGCCATAATCTTTAGTTTTCAGAATTTTATGCAAGATAATTTTGGTGTCATATAAAAGCTAGCCAAGTATAGCAACTGTACTTTGGGGACAGGAAAATGAATCAATCATCACAATTCACTTAACCTCCAGAAAATCTTTTCTTTCATTTTTTTTTACCCTCCAGAAAATCTTAATGAGCATATATGTTCCTGGCAGACTTTAATCACTTAACAGTCTTACTTGTTTGTTTCAGATAAAGAAGGTGGAAACCTCATGGGACCATGAAGAGGAGGATACGCCATCCTTGGATACTGTTGAAACATCTGAATGTGGAAAACAAACATGGATAAATTTAGCAACCCAGTTATTTGAAAAGAAATTATAATTTATAGAATGATTAAAATAACAGTACTATGAACAACTAATTTTATCTACTGGTATAGATCAGCATTCACCCTCAATAATAAGCCACTTGTAAGATTACTGCATCCACCAAGTCTTTACAAATAGTAAGTCAGCAAATATTGTAGGAAGAGAACTTTTGTTTTTCCATTAACAAAAAATTCACATAAAAGTGATTGTATACTGACATGAAAAACTAAAAATAACAACATGCATGCACCCCAGAAAACAGCAAAGCCATGTTGGAATACTTGAAAGGAAACGTAAAACTTGCCCCTAACGCAGGAGTAGATTAATTGAAGGCAGATTTGCAGATAAAGAGAAACTCAGTTCAGGAAAAAATAAGGGAGAGTCCATCACCCAAAGGAGTGAGGAAGGAGGTGGGCAGGGAGTGCCCTAAAGATTTTTTATGGTAGGGCACAGGTGGATTCCGAGTCAAGGTACTGGGCAGACAGTACGGAAATTATAAACTATGTGCAAAGATAATGTTCTCTGTGGGAACTTGGCTCTGACAAGCTAAGTTTCAGAGACGTTATAAGATAGATTATAAAGAGAAACGAAACACAAGGAATTCATCCTACGATGTGAAAGGGAAGAAATGTAAGGAGTGCTTGGTTATTTATTATCTGTTTTTATCCAGGTCAAATTATGTTTAAAAACACACACACACACACACACACACACACACACAACCTTAAAAATAGCTGTTAGACAAGGAAATTACTTTACACTTGAAGAAAGGCTATGCTCATGTGATCATGTATCTGAGAAAACCTCTCTGCAGGGTCAGAAAGTGAATTCGGTCCAGCAGCAGCAGGCACTGGCGGGGCAAGCCTGTCTGAGGAGCACTCTGGAGCAGTGTTGGCTACATCACTTCTACACTGAGGTCAGCCAATACACTCCTGGAGGCAAATGCTCACAAGAAAAGCTGCACCATATCCTTCTGTGGATTAGTCAGATTAATTTCATGTGGGATTAAATGTGTAAAATTTAGAAATCTGCCATATTAATTGTAGAAACAATCTTTAAATTCTCAATATATGGTAGTGTAGTTGTTAAGTAGTGGGATACTTCGATGTGAGAAAGACACATCGACTGGTTGCCTCCCACATGACCCCAACCAGGGCCTGGGAGGTACGTGCCCTTGACTGAAATCGAACCTGCGACTCTTTGGTCTGTAGGCCATCACTCTAACTGCTGAGCTAAACCGACCAGGGATAGCCCTGGCTGGGTAGCTCAGATGGTTAGTGTCATCCTGATACACCAAGGTTGCGGGTTTGATCCCTAGTCAGGGCACATACAAGAATCAATCAATGAGCCCTGGCCGGTTTGGCTCAGTGGTTAGAGCGTCTGCCCGCGGTCCGGAGAGACCCGGGTTCGGTTCCCGCTAAGGGCATGTACCTCGGTTGCAGTTTGTCCCCGGCCCTGGTTGGTCGTGCGGGTGGCAGCCACTTGATGTGTCCCTTTCACATCAATGTTTTCCTCTCTCTCTCTTCCTCTCCCTCCCTCCCACTCTGTCTGTACAAAAAATGGGAAAATGTCCTCAGATGAGGATTAAAAAAAAAAAAAAATCAATCAATCAATGAAATGCATAAATAAGTGGAACAACAAATTGATGGTTTTTTGTCTTTTCTTCTTCTTCTTTTGTCTCTCTCTAAAAATCAATTAAATAACAATTTTAAAAATATATAGTAACCTATAAAATATATACAGATGAAAGTGAGGCATCTAGCATTTGCTTTAATAATCCAAGATGGTGGGAAACAGGAGGTAAGATTGATCACAAATTGATTAACTGTTAAAAACGGATGACAGATATGGGAAGAGGTTCACTGTATTATTATTCCCATTTTTACATGATTAAATTTTTCCATAATGTAAAGCTAAAAAATGAAAAGTAAACCAATAAAAACTTTAGAACTAAAACAGCTTTAACCTTTTCCATGCGATAAACAACCCCTCTGGCAATCTGATAAATTCTATGAACCTTTCCTCAGAGAAATGTTTTAAAATACATAATCAATAAATGTGAAGTATAACAAAGGAAAACAATTATAATAAAACTGTTACAATATATATATTTTAAAAATTGTGACATAGTCACATATATGTTTCTTTATTAGGTCATTAAATAGCAAGTGGGTCTATCCATGGGTCTAATAACTATCATACAGTAATGTTGAGTATAAACAATACTTGGCAATATCTAAAACAATGTAATGCGACATAAAAATATTTATGATCCCTATTAATAAAAACACAGGTATTGTAATTTGTTTCCTACATTCATAATGAAAGAAAATGCTATTTTTAATTATATGTTAATGAAAATAAAAACCCAAACTCCCCATTCCAATTCTCTTCTTGGAACCCAGATCAAAAACCTATTATTAAGCACTTGCTTATTTATCGATACTCACGTAAGGAGGCATCATAGCTCGGTACTGGGAGGCGAGAGCAGGCTGCTGTCCATTCAGTTTGGCCTGTGGAGGACCACACGCTATTCTCTTTTCCACTACTTTGAGGATGTCATTCTGCTCGGATGACCCAGCTGTGCTTTCGTCCTGGCCAGGCAGCTTTTCTTCTTGGTCAGGTGTTGAGGGTGAGCCAGCAGACTTACCACCGTCTCTCCAACAAGCAACATCTGGTACAGAGAGACAAGAAAGGGATAAGGAAAAACCTGAAAATGTAACAGAGTGAAACCAAACTAGACACAGTTCAAGAAAACCTCAGCAAGTAACAAGCAAGCACAGTGAAAGAGCAGAGCAAGTCTAATCGAGGCCCTACAAATGCTCAAGAGTTTAGGCAGTCAAGAGGAGTGGCTGCTTCCAAAGCAGAGATGCCCCTCAGAAGGGGTCGAGGAAGAAAAACATTAGTGCTTCTCTATTAAGCTTTACCAATATTCGATAGGGAGTTTAAAACTCAGTAATGCCTGAGGTGTCCTAAGGGTAGAGGAGTGAGTGTTCTACAATCCAGAAGGGTTGACAGTGATGCTCATTCATGTTTTCAGTCTACTATTGCTAGTTACATGTGCCAAGTGAGCAGATTTAGTGATTATATTTATGTGGTTGAACCACACTTAACCCAGTGAGACTGGCAAATGGTTTTACCAAAAAAAAACAAACCTTGTTTGGTAGGTAGCCTCTGAGGTGGCCCAAAGGGTCTCTATCCCCTGACATTCACACCCTGTGTCCCACTCTCTCACAGTATACCAGGACTAGTCTGTGTAACCTGCAGAACAGAACAGAAGTGATGGCATGTCTCTTCTGAGATTAGGTCTTGAGACACTGTGGGCTTCCATCTGAGGTGAGAGAGATCTCTGCCCTTACATTTTCTGGGGAAGCAGCCATGTACAAAGAGCCGCCATGAACAAGCTTGGAACGGTAGCCTAAGTCAAGCCAGCATCAGATGACAGCTTCACTGCAACTGTGTGGCGAGTTCCTGACCAGAAACCCCAGCTAGGCTGCTCACACATTCCTGACCCTCGGGCACTGTGTAAAACCACAAGTCCACTCAGTTTTTTTGTTTGAAGCTGCCAAAATTTTTTTTTGCAGCAATAGATAAGTGATGGAAATAAATGGAAAACAGTAGAGCTGACACACCTATTCCTAATATAAACACATGAACATTACAGCAATCACTGCTGTAATTAATTGTGGCTCAGCTGGTTGGCACATCATTTTGTGCAACAAAGTGTCATGGGTTAGATTCCTGGTCAGGGCAAAGACCTACATTGTGAGCTTGATCCCTGGCTGGGGCACATATAGGAGGCAACCAATAGATGTTTCTCCCCACCCACCCCCACCTTCTAAAAAAGACCATACCCTCAGGTGAGGATTTAAAAAAGAAATAAAGTAGGATGATTTACTCAGACCTGACAAGAAAGGAACCCCGCAAATAAGAAATGTATCAGGCTATCAGAAACATCAATTTGCAATCATTGCCATGGAGAGGAACTTCCCCAGGTATAGATTCTTTGAGATATTTGGTAATGACAATATGAAACTAACACAATTAATAAGGCTTAAAGAAATCTCAAAGACTTGGTATTTCAACTTTTAATTTTTGCTTTGTAATGCACATAATACAAGTATCTCTCCTATCCTAATTGATTTGGTCCCTGGGTTTGAATTCAGAAAGCAAGGGATCCCTAAATATAATGGAATAACAAATAAGTAAGTATATGCATAATGGAGAGGTTTGCCCTAAATATTTTGCTATTGTAAAAATAACCAAATATTAATGTGGTAACAAGTCACCTAGGCATCCTGTTAAGATGTATACTTTCAACAAACCACTCCTGACGGTGAGCAACTAGTTACCACCTGCCTTTTAAAATAGGCAAGCCACACACATGACACTTGCAGGCGGGATGTTACAACACAAGAAAAACACAAAGAGAATCTCATTCTGGTTTCCATTAAACGGAAAGCACTTCTTACTTGGTGGGCGTAAACTGGGTCCAGGTCCATAGTTGTCGTCATTTCCTTCTTTTTCTTTTTTTTCTTGATCCCCAGCTGCCTGCAGGCTGGGAAATTCTTGCTGAAAATGACTGTTCACCTGGATTCCTATAGATTTTTAAAGAAACATTAAATGTAACTTTCATACCAAAGATAATTCAAAACCCTCCCAGGATAGAGCTCTCTGCCTTTTTCTGATAAATTATTCCACATTTCAATGACAGCGATTCATATCCATAAACGTTTTAGTTATTTAGATTTGGAATCCCGTGGAAAGTTAACGAACAGCCATGAGGAGATAAACATCTAAGGACGGACCCTGCAGCCTCAGTCCCAGAGGGTTCAGTAAGATGAAGCAAGGGAAGAGGTTCACTTACGTTTCTCTCTCAATTATTTCAGAAGTCAGATTCCTCTGCTAATCCTCTAATAAGTTCAAACTATATCACTGAAACAGATTTTTTTAATAAACACTACAAGTACCACACAGACTAAAATGCCTTCATTTCACTGATGAACTTCATTTAACTGACTTGAGATACTGCTTGTGCCTCAGTATTCACCATCTACCTACCTGCCTGCTGTTTATTTTTTATAATTTATAAATTAAAGAGCTGCTTTTATTAGCTTCTGGGACTAGATGGGTTTTTCCATACAATGTTTTATAGACATTTCCTGTTTTCAACTGGGAAATTTTTGCCAGGAAGTCTACCATTCCTTGTGGGGAGGGAGGTATTCCAGCAATTATGCTTTAGGGCTTCTCGCTAGCTCTTCTCTACCATGGAAATCATGAGTGCCGTGTTTGAAAAAGAGAGGTTGGGGGCACAGATGGAGATGAATGTGGTTTCTAGCAATCTACAGTGTATGGGTACTTATCTCAAAGAGTTGAAAGTACAAGGTTTTATCTGGTCATGTAAAGATAAAATAATGTGGGACGGAGTGTATCCTACAGACTTCTTCTAAAATCCTAATCATCATCATTAGGGCATATATGGCTCTTGACACAGAAATGGAGCCCAAGAAATTTTTAAAAGACACGTTATAGGGCCTGAGTATATCCTTTGACAATGTTCTCCACCCCTGCCAATACACTAATCCATCCTGTATCTCCTGCATGGCTGTTCAGTAACTATCAAGCCTGACCAGGTACCCCAGCTAATGTCCACTTACCATCTCCTTGCCCACCTTGCTTGTTACTGGCCCATGATTTTGGAGCAGGTGCTACTTCTGGGGGAGCTGCAACCCCAGGTTTTGGCTGTGCTGGTGGAACTTCTGGTGTTCTTAAAAAAAATGTGAATCCATTATTTCAGATATTATATGTTTAAATAAACTGAACACTGTATTTAAGGTGAATTTCGGTACAAGTTATTCTGGCTACATATTCACTCGTAGATGCAGCCTCCACAAAAGCTTTCTCCCTGCAACATCCATTTAAACGAAGTACAGCTGTTTCCATCCCCTTTCATTTGTACCTTTGAATAAATACCAAGGAGAAGACAGCTCTGCTTGCTTTCATGTTGTAAAAATAATTAACACTCATGATTAAACATAGCTCCCAAAAACTTGTTTTGAAGAAGTGAACATTTCCAACTAGAAGTAACAGCTTAGGCATACATACGGTCCGGACTGATGGGATTAGCCAGGGGAAGGCTGAGCAAGCTCTCCATCTGGCAGTCAACAGGTTCGCCACTGTACTTATTGCTGTACTCATACTCAGTAACAGCAACCTGCCTGACGCACTCCAAGAAAGGTGTTGTAAAAAGGTCTACAGTTTTATTCAATCCTTGTAATAAGTAATGCTTAAAATGAAAAAGTTGGTTAAGAGACTTAAGAAATACAATATATTTCTGGTACGCTCAGACCTCTGACTTACTACCATTAAAATAATTCTACAACTAAGAAGCAAAGGACAGCATGTCTTTGACAAGCGTACTCCAGTAGCCCAGCAATTTGATAACGGATACAGGCAAAAAGTATTAAGTACCCAAATACTTGCCTTATTTTTTTAAACTACCACAACTTGGGCATTCAATACATTAAGAGCCTTGCACAATCCTTGACATACAGTGTTAAATATTTGTTAAATGAATGGTGATTAATAGGGACACGATCAATTCTATCCAGACTTCCTTGCTAATTCTTTATTCATTGAAAATATTACTTGAAAGAGCATCAGGCACAGTTTCAGAGAACCAGGCAGATTCTTTGAGACATGGAACTATTGAAGAGAATCTAGTTCTAATCATATTAGAAAGATAATGCTTGATCAGATGGAAGTGAGGGAAGAGGGAACCTGACAGAGCGTATGAGAAAAGTTGTGATTAGCAACTGTCATTGTTCTGCCTCAACACGTGGAATTACTGCCACTAAACTCACTCAACAGGGAAATCAATCAAAACTCTATGGAAGACTTTAAAGGGCATGAGATATGTAATACACGCAGCACAACACCTAGCACGTAGAAGGAACTCAATCCTAAATTCCCTACAAAGCAAGGGAAGAGGTTTCATTCTTTAGTGCGTGCTAACTTACTTTTCTTCTTCATGCTGCTCTTGCTTTGATGCCCATCCTGTGCCATCTTTAGGTACAATGTTCACATTAGGATCATTGCCTTTGTTTTCTGCTTTTAGACTTGGAAGGTTAGCGGGTGGAGGCATACGCCGTGAAATACCAACTTTTCCAAGACTCTGTAATCCATGTCGAGCTGCAACTAAAGATCAATTAACATCAACTTTCTTACAACATCTATTTTATTCCACACTTTATTCTTAAAACAATACAGAAATAGGAATTAATGACATCTGGAACTGTAATTTTCTAATCATTTAAGGTAAGAATCTTTAAGCCATGTGCCTGCAACAAAATCCAATGCATAGATTATATTTAAAATAAACTATCGAGCCACTGACCACATGCTGTAAAAATTCTAACAAGAGACCCTATACAATATAAAAAGTTAAACACCAACAATGCCAGTTTTGTAATTTTTTCAGGAAATCCATTTCAAACTCAAAAGTTAGCAAGTTAAAAAATAAATATGCTGCCCTGGCCGGTTTGCTCAGTGGTTAGAGCGTCGGCTGCGGACCAGAGAGGCCCTGGTTCAGTTCCCGCCGTACCTCGGTTGCAGTTTGTCCCTGGCCCCAGTTGGGGTCCTGTGGGTGGCAACCACTCAATGTCTCTCTCTCTCTCTTCCTCCCTTTCTCCCTCCTGCTCTATCTGAAGATAAATGCAAAAATGTCCTTGGGTAAGGATAAAAAAAAAAAAGAAAAGAAACAAATATGCTGACTTTATGTGCACAAGAACACTGCTAATGTCATATGTGGTCCAGTTTTCACTTTTCACTGAAAACACTGGGTTCTAGGTATCAAAAAACAAGACGAAACACCACAGGACTCTCTCTAGTCCATAACATGAAGTGGAAACAAATTCCCACTAATATGCAGCTCTAACCTTTGGAACCACACAATTCTACTTATTTTCTGCTTACAAAAAATCAAAAAACACAAAACAACCACGTTTATAGATTTTTATTTGTAAGACATTTAACTCATGTCCCCTGAAAGTGTTGCGTGCATAAAGAGCCACTGTAAATAGGGTGTGTTAACATGGGTTTGTCCCAGTTCCTAACAGCAACAGCTCCAGTGTACAATTTATAGTAACTAAAGTATAAAAACCGTAACAATGTAAATGCCACATGATTGTACTCACCTGTGGTTTTCTGAGTTTCTAATGATTTACCCTTGTAAGTATTAAATAAACTGAGCGTCGCATACTTTTTCCCATCCTTTGCTTTTGTGCTCTGGCCTGACTTCTCCGACATTTCGGTGGAAACTCATCGAGTCCGAAACCTCCTGCCACACCCCTTACAACCAGCCTTTGAGACACACGTTAAAAAAAGAAGAAAAGTTTTAGAATTTATTAGCTTATTAAAAACTCCTAAAATTCAAATGTTCACAGAAATTCTGAAAAATAAAAACACTGAGAGATGAAACCCATCTTTAATAATTCATATCAATAATAATTTACAAATTAGCTCTCATACTATTTCCTATTTCTCTTCAATTCAACAAGGAGTACACACAGATCAGCGTTAGGATTGCTCATCTGGGGGGTTAGAGGCGGAGTGGGGCAGAAGGTGATGAAGTCCACCAAGAGCCATCAACAATGCAAACCCAGGAGGTGCAGCACGTGAGCTCAAGAGAAAACAGGCACATCACGCAAAAAGCATTCAGAGTCAAGGACCGCCTGTGCAGAAGACCCTAACTACATAAAAATCACTTTACATTTGTCAACTGCAGGATCAGCATCACATATAGAGAGAGACATGGGTTTTTTGGTGGTTGTTTTCTTTTTTAATTGAGGGAGAGAGCGAAACATAGACTTGCTGCTCCACCGATCCAACATTCACTGGCTGTCTCCTGTATGTGCCCTGCATGGGGATCAAACCCACAACCTTAGTGCATCGGGAAGATACTCCAACCAAGCTACCTGGGCAGGGCCAGAGTTGTGGCTTCATATGTATATATCAGTAGCCACACTAAACATTTGTGTAGTTCCATTAAATTTATCAAGAATTTTCACATCGATTATCTCACTAACTTTATGATTTGTTAGTATTCTGATTTGACAGACTGAGGAAACTGATGTTGAGAGGTAAATGAGATTGGGTTGAAATCTCACACCATGCCACCTCCTCTCCATGTAATGAGATACCACTTAGTTCTCTGAGTACACATTTACAATAAACCACCTTTCATGGAAACAAACTGTGAAAAAACTCATCTGTGACCAAAACAACTACACTAATATATAGATGACTTGCTATCATATGTGGAAGAATGTATATAATTAATCATCACAAGGGTGCTAATGATGACAGTGGAGTGAAGAGAGCAGTACTCCTAGAATCTGTCTTTGTTGACAGATATTGACCAATTACATGGACAAAAATATAGGAAGAATATTCCATCACAGTGATGAAAGGACAAGGCACTAGCTGACGTATCAAGGAAAACAGTCAACTTGTTCTTTCACCTTCATCTGAGGGCAATTTAACACCAAGAATCCTCAAACCTCTCATCACCACACCGACTTATGCGATACTCTATTAGTGGACAATCTCACGTGCAGCATCATAGGAAAGAAACTCCTGAACGATCCTAGGGGCAAATCTACAAGCCCACCTGTATCCCCACCCATCTTCTCCAACGAGTTTCCCTTCCTCCACCTATGTTTATAGTGGTTCTCAGCATCACCTAGATAGATACTTGGCAGAAATGCAAATTCTCAGGCCCATCCTAGACCTACTAAATCAAACACAGGATGGGGCCCAGCATGCTTGTGTTTTATTTAGCAAGTCCTCCAGAGAATCCTGTGACATACAAAAGTGTAGGATCCACTGACGTATTTATGACAAGCAGATATATTCTAAGCAGTGGGCCCTAACCCTCACTGCACATGAAAATCACCAAGAATCTGGGGTACTGGGGTGGCGCCTGTTATCAAATCCTCATTGTGAAACAGCTCCTCTGGTGATTCCAATAGGAGAGCAGTCTTCACACTCACTGCATAGAGGACATGCAGCTCCCTCCTGTCCCGCCTGAGGCCAGCCCTCCCTCCTGTGCTGTCCCTCCTCCTGTCCTCGCCTCCCGTCCCATTCTGAACTCTTTTCTGCAGGGACTCTCACCCACTCCTATGGTTTTAACTACCAACTAATCACCCAAATCTGTATCTCCAGCCCAGAACTCTGTGCCTCTGAGGAACATATCCCACTGGCTATTTACATTTCTTCTGTTTTGAATAGTTTCAACATTACCTAGAACAGAGGCATCTATTTTATATTAAGAATTTCAGAAACAAGACAGCCAAATATTCTGAACAGCATGACAGAAAAATGGTAGTTAAAAAATTAAAAAGGCAGTCAACAGACAACCTACCTCAATGTTTGACAACATGTGAATGCTTTATAAGAAAGAACTCAACAAAAATCAATGCTTTGAACAGACAACTCATATACCAATAAACAAGTATGTTCCATTTTGTAAGTAAACAAAAATTAAAATAACAAGGTAGGGAGTTCAGCTTGTCCACAGCTTACATACACAAGGAAAACAATTTGACATTACACAACTGAGCCACAGGGTGACAGAATATCTAATTCAATTCTAGCCATCACAGAACATTAGGGCTTGGAAAGAATCATAAAATAAACCTTAATTTCTCCATTTAAAAGTAAAACAAAACCAAAAGTTTTCCTAGTAACTATAAGAAATTTCCAGCTACAAAAAACACACAAATAAACAAGCAAATGACTCCAAAAGCCACAAAATAGAGGTTCTACATTAAGTCAAAGTTCTTGCAAATATATTAATATTTGAGTAGTTCTTTTTAGGGTTTGAAATGCTGTAAGAAGTTTCTCCTCCCACCATTAAACTAGTGTGTATACTGTGCCCTTCAGAGTTTTACATGCTTATGCGCTCCTCCTGTTTTTGTTTTATAGTACTTACTATACCAGAAAAAGTAAATTATAAATACATATGATTAAAGTTAGTGTAAATGAAATCAAAAGATAAAAGACAAGCTATCACTTAACATACCCATTGTTATAGAATATTCATTTCTAAAAACTAAGAATCTATAGCCATAAACTGTAAGGTTGAATAAATCAGAAGTCCAATTCCACTATAACGATTTGCCTGTCAGGTGTGGGCACTTTTAGTTTAAAGCTACAGTTTAATTTAGCCTTCTACCTTTTTAGTGTTTTGCTTCTGAAAGTCTTGGGGGACACCCTGAAATTTTCAATTCATTCAACACATATTTGAGAGAAAAACCAGTAACTAGTTCAAAAATTAAAATTACTTTTAGGAATGTAAAACTACATTAAATAAAATCATGTGTGTGTGTGTGTGTGTGTGTGTGTATTTTTTTTTAAGATTCCTTTTAGAAGAAAGTGTCAAAAGCAGCCAACCAGTCCAGAATGAGCACCACCAAGACTTAGCTTCACTTTAGGTAATTTAAAAATATTTTTTAAAATGTAATTCCTGTTTAGGTGCCTAAAATGAAACAAAGAATCATGGCTCCGTTGCAAGGAAGGACAGTGACAACAGACAGATGGAGAACAAATGAAGTGAGGCCTGTGGTGTCCTGAACTCAGTGCCTCGAGAGTTTCCAGGCCATGGCATTGAGAAGGAACTCAAGCGGAGGCTGGTGGATTCCCGAGGCGGAGAAAAAGGGCCTGAGACTACAAGGTGACCGAAGTAGTTAGGGTATAACATCGGAGAGGAGAGACTGTCCAGAGAGAAAAGGCTACAGATCCGCAGAGGACGCCTGCGAGCCTGCAGCAGAATACTACCGGGCACGTGTGAGGGACTCCCCAACGCGGGGAAAGAACCATCTGTGATGATTAGAAAGGAACAGTCAGTGCCTGCTGCTCACGAAGGGATGGGAACAGTGACTATCCTCACCAGCTAGACTTTAATTCATTGGGCACTGGGTAGAGTATTGAGAAGTGCCTTATCTCAGCAGTGGTAACAAAAGTACCCTAAAGTAAATACTGCTCTGATCTTGCCTAACAAATTTTAAAACAACATCCAACTGCTTCCAGGTAACTGAGTCCCAAACAAATTTAAAGATTACTTACAGAAAATGAAAAAGTATCCAAGAAGATAAACCACACTATGGCATCCAATTAAAAATTATTATACAGGCCCTGGGCGGTTTGGCTTAGCAGTTAGAGCGTCAGCCTGCAGACCATAGAGTCCCGGGTTCGGCTCCCACTAAGGGCAAATACCCCAGTTGCAGTTTGTCCCGGCCCAGTTAGGGTTGTGTGGGTGGCAGCCACTCAATGTGTCTCTCTCACATTCATGTTTCTCTCCCCGGCTCCTTTCTCCCTCCCATTCTGTCTGAAGATAAATGCAAAAATGTCCTTGGGCGAGGAACAACAACAACAACAAAAAATTATCATGCAGGAGCCGGGCAGGTGTGGCTCAGTGGTTGAGCACTGACCCATGCACCAAGAGGTCACCGGTTCAATTCCCAGTCAGGGCACATGCCCAAGTTGTGGGCCAAATTTCCAGTATGCAGGTTATGCAGGAGGTGGCCAACTGATGTTCTCTTTTATCACTATTTCTTTCTCTCTCTCCCTTTCCCTTCTTCTCTCTCTAAAATCAATAAAGAAAATTATTATGCAGGCAAAGAAGCTGAAAAATATAAGCCAATTAAAGAGAAGACTCAATCAACTGAAACCAACCCAGCTGACCCAGATGTTAGAATTACTGTACAAAATATTAAAAGCTACTTTATTATACTGCATTCTATACATGTAACAAGGAAGTAGCAGCAATGGACAGTGAGAAACTGAAACTAAAGTACAACTTATGATATCAATTAAAAACATGAAATACTTAGGGATATATCTGCTGACAAAAAAAGTGCACAATTTGTGTACTGAAAACTGTAAAACATTAAAGGCCTAGATAAATGGAGATATGTCAGTTGTCCAAAATTAAGATGTCAATTCTTGCCAAACTGATCTATAGATTCAAAGCAGAAATCTCAGGCGGAAAAAAATGTGAGGGTGGAGGGTAGAATTTATCAAACTGATTCTAAAATCTATAAGGAAATGGACAGAATCTGGAATAACCTGTTAGCTCTAACTTATCTTTAACTTCCATATTACTGTCCCAAGCCTCTCAAATCTTTTACTTTCATACTGATGCCCCAAGCCTCTTATCATTTAACCCTGCCCTAAGCCTCTCATTCCAGGAAACCAAAACCCATCACTCCAGCCAGGCGGAACGGAATGACGGAACTACCCTAACCCACCCAAAACTGCAAACGGTTGCTCGGTTGCTCGACAAGAAAAACAAGTTTCAG